ATACGAACATAGGGCATGCAATTTTTCTACTGTATGTGTTATTGAAGTTCTAGTTACGTACGCATATCAAGAGTAGTCAATATTTTATTGATATAGAATTGCCGGCTTTGGCATAGTGGTATAAGTGTAATGATGAGAAATAGACAAGACATTAAAGACCTCAACATGGAAACCAAGGAGTGACAATATATCCAAACCCAACAATCTGCGCATATAGTTCATGGTATCAAAAAGAAAACAAAATCAAACAAAAATTAAAAGCAATACAACCGACCCTCAATATCTCACCATCCACATCACTCCTACCTGTCATCCCCAGTCGATAGTTTTAATTACCTGCGGGAAAATCCATATCCCTCATCGGATTCCCATAGGGCCTCGGAACCGGAACAGCCCCAACAGGTGCCTCACCCGGCGCCGGACCCATAAACTGATGCGTCAGATGATGGATGTTACCCGGCGGAGCCGGAATAGGAACGGGCGGGTACATTTGCTCCTGTCCATTTACATGTGCATACGCAAGGCCGGGAGTTGGAGGTGCAAAAGGAGTCGGCGGAGCGAAACCCGTAGGCATCGGCGCAGGCGCAGGAGCAGGCCATCCGCCCTGGTCTGTCTTGGGGGTAGCATTCTGGACACGGATGGGAGGCGGTTGGAGCTGGAAGGTTGGCTGGGGTCTTGTTGGGGAGCGCGGGGTTGCGTATTGGATTGTACGGTCGTCGTGGGCGCCGGGCCCGACGCCGTGTTCGCCGTTTTCTGCGGTCGAGTAGGGGTCTTGCGGTTGGGAAGAGACCCATGGGGATTTGGGGGCTTGGGGGAAGCCATAAGGTGTGCCGGGACCGAAACCTGGGGTGTTCGGGGCGGACTGGAAGCGCTGTGCGAGGTGGAGTTGGGAGCGGGCTTTTTCGCGACGGTCCATGGACTTGGCAAGTCGTCGCTTTGTGATGAAGCGGTAGAAGACGACGGCGTAGATGAGGATGACGAGGACTTCAATGACGATTTCGATGATGGCACAGACGAGACCCCAGTCCTGGAGACGGCAGAGGAGAGCGTAGTCGATTTCTTCGTGGAAGAGCTTCTCTCGCAGGTTCTGGTTGCAGGACCATCCCCACATGTCCTGGCCATCACCGTTGGCTTTGGAGGATTGGTAGATGGCTGCGGAGACGATCCACATGATCATGCTGAAGAAGAAGAAGCCGATGGAGAATAGTGTGCCGTAGAGGGCCATTTTCTCGGCGCGTTTGTGGCCGCCCCGGAAGTAGCCCCAGAAGACCATTATACAGGCGAAGAGGGAGACGCATGCGACGACCAGGAGGAGGTACTGGGCCCATGGATTTGTGCCTTCTGCCCAGGCGGGGAGGTCATTTCGAGAAGGGAGAGCTTTTGTTGCGTTGAAGACGGTCAAGGTGGTTGCCAGGATTGCGAGGACGATGAGACTGCAGCCAAAGTTGATGAAACGGAGGAAGATCTTGGCTAACCGGACACGCAGTTTGATTTTCTTGCAAATAAAAGTGAGCTAGGCGCTTGTTTATAGGTGGGTTTTGTGTATACTTACCACGTCTCTGGCGTTTTCCTTGTCTGCGAGTTGATCATGCTTCTCGACAAAGAACTCTTCCCGGAATGTCGGGCTCAGAGGGTTCAATGTGCGTCCGGGTGTTCCTGGCACCTTCATCGCACTCTTGAGGGGCGAGCCCGGAGGAGGCTGGTGGTGCGACGCATGTTGAGCTGGGTCACTGGCAGCGACATAGCCGAAGCCTAGATCCGACACATCGGGGGGTGTTTTCTGCTGATTGGGAGGGTCCGCGAAAGGCGATCTCCTCGAATCATTGGTATCGATGGGAGAATGGACGGTTGTTGCCTCGACAAATCGAGTCGTCCTAGGGCTGTTTAATGATGAGACTGGCGAGTCGGATGAGCTCCGGTCGTGGTGTCTTGAGTCCGCCATTGAGTGATTTATTGTGTTTATCGGCGAGGATGATCGAAGCAGGAATCGGACAAGAAGAATTAAAGAGTACCAGCTCTTTATTATGTCACGATCGTACGATACTGCGAGAGGTCAGTACAAAAAAGTGGTGCTTGGTTTGAGGCAATTATACCTATTTGATCAATATGAGGATATCTGCAAACCTACCGGGGCTCGCACGTAGAGCAGCCAGCTAGTATTATTCCAGGACTAAATTGCTGCTGTTCATGGAGAGAGATGAAATGGTGAAGAGAGCTCAGATACAGAGTGCTCAGTGGTAAAATGGGAGAAGAAGTGAACAGACGACGACCAGCATGACAGTCTACATAATATCAACCCAGGCGCGATCCCAGTCCTAGTCACTTTTGGTCTCATTTCCTCTCTCCTCTCAACTGAAGGGCGTTGAGCGCATCTCTAAGCGCCCGGGACGAAGCAGCGATATTTTAGCACAGCATGATGATTGGAGCCCCGACCGGGTGAAGACGCGCTGTGACAGTGTAGCGTGCATTTTGAATGGCCAATGCTGGTAGTGATCACAGTGAAGAACGATCATCTTCATGCACGTTTGGTCACCTCCAGAGCGAATGAGATAGCTTAGACTCGAGGCCCGGCGCGAAAAGTTGACCAACCATGGCCGGAGTTGAAGCGCTGTGAAAATGGGTGTATGGAGTACTTGTAGACGAGACGCCCGAGTCCGTACTCGTAGCGCATCAGTCCACTCAGTGGTTTAAACTAATCAATTTCTGTCTTTGTTGTCCTTTTGTCATTATTATAACTGTCGTCTCTCATGCAATACTTTGTATTAGCTAATCAAGTTCGCCTGAGGTTATCTACTCTACGCCCTGTTCATCTCTCCCGACATATTCACGTGACATTGACATGCCGAATATGGCAAGATGCAGAGAAGCAATGCAGGCTCAGCTCTTGAGTTGGTGGTGGTGGCCAATGTTCGGATTACTCCGTACATGATGAACACCCGTTCACTAGTACTCTTGCTGAATCTGAATCAACAGTAAATCGATCTCGATAAACCCACCCCGAGATTTGTTTCGCCACCAATACTCTTCTTGACTATCCGGGGTATGCCGAATGAGTCGTCCGGGGGCTTTTTGTATCAGACGATTCTGAAAAAACACGTGATGGGGTCTCTTTTCCGGCTTGTATTCCGCCAGCTCCGGCCCCTGCAGCCAATAATAGACCGCGTTCATTGTCGATCGCTGTCGGCGCGCAAGCCAGAACGCGATCGTCCGCCAATTAGAAGTCACGTGCGCCACAGCTGCAGGGCTGATTGGTGGGAAGCGCCACTCTCTCCGCACTAGTTGCCAGCCACGGTGGGATTCAGCAAGCACAGCCTCACTCAATACCGTGTTACGAGCATACAGGATTGTGTGACAAATTGGATCTGCCCCATTACTTGCAGTGTTTTGTATCTGAAGAGTGATACACTATTAGGATACAGAAGAATATGGTGTACGGAACGTAGAATTGGCGGTGCACGGCTGGTGGTTCTTTTTTTGGAGCATCTGACTCATCAGAAACCTTAACCGTCAAACCGGTTCTACAAGTATGAGACGGATACACATTTCTATCCATTACTCTGTACAGAATAAAGGCTTTGAACCTGGCATCGGGGAATAAAAATCAGTACAGGACTAGCTGTATTACGCCATTGTCATTCAGTATCCTTGCATATACCATAATTTTGACAGAGTATACAAGTATGAACAACCAGCGGGATTGCCTGCGCCTCTCAGTTCCTGGTCATGTATCCACTGTAATGGCGTTACCATACCCACTGTAGCCGCGCAGAGCCGCCTGTCAGCGCGTAATATTACCACCAGCCACCGTCCTCTTGCCATTCTTTATTTCATACTCCATATATTTATTATTCTCTCCATATTCTCTGTAAAGAGAAGGTCCCAATTAGTCGACAGACAGACAGGCACATGAACAGCAGATGGTGCCGTTGGTATCGGGGTCTGGATAGTATTATCTGCATCTTTGTCAGCCCCGTTTCTTAATACTCCCTTCTCTCTTTTCTCTTTTCTTCTCATTTTTCAATTGTATCAACCTTCCCCAAAATAGTAGTGCTGGATCTTCTTTTCTCCACCACAGCCTCATCCGCCACGGTTTCAACGCATCTTCCACTTGATGGCCCGTTGGAGTTTAACCTAACAACCACCAATTCCTGTCTGCTGCTGCTGCTGCTGCTGTTGTTGTTGTCATTGTTTTTCTTTTCTGACTCGCCATTTCTTCAACAGCAGCCACTGAACTTAACAAGGCTGACCGCTATTTTTATTCCTTCATCTTTCTTCACCTGCGCCTCATCTCCTAGCGCCTCTTGATCGTTCGTTAATACCCGGAGTACGCCTCAGAGAGCTGAACTCCTTCCCTCCACTTTCGGATACCTTCACCCTCCACACACGCTTTCTCTCGCTCGATCTTGCACGATCTGCCGTCTGATCTCTCCTTACATTCCTCTCTTTCTTTCTTTCTTTCTTTTTTTTTTTTTGCGCCACACTCGGTTCCAGGTGAGCGCCCCACGCGAACTCTGCCCTGATCTTACTCGTCCGCCTCGCTGTGTTCTGCGTTTGGATTCCTTCTCAGCCAATGGCCCCCTCCGGTTTCTGCGAGATGAGAATATGAGAAAAAAAATTCTTTCTTATATCTCACTGGTGTCCACCTTTGGGGGCTAAGCATGACTTCTTTCCTTGATTCAATCCCTCCTAATTCCACGGCTATTTCTATTGCGCCCGTCACTGGTCGACTAACATGACTACCAAAATAGCCACTCCCCTGTCTTTCCGCTCTTCATCGCTGCCTGGTGGACATCACCCATTATCCATGGCGGCTTTGATGCAATCGAATAACGAACCGGTCGCGATATCTAACCCTCTGTCCGGTCCTTCTAACACCATCGTCTCGAGTCCTCAGGACTCCGTCGCGTTTCTAAAACAATCCACCAAGCCCGAGTCGAATCTGAGCTCCATTGCCAGCGCCGGTCTACACGTCTCCCGGTCGAGAGACCAACCTTCGTCGACCTCCAACATGGCAACCGCGACAACACCTACCATGGAACATCGAGAACAGCAGGACAAGGGGCCAGAACAGAATAGCTCTCAGGTTGCGCGAGAGGCCCTGGGTGCTAGTGAGAAATCCCACTCGATCAATGATTCCATGCCCATGGCCTCGGATCATATGCAAGTCGATTCGCATACAGCGCCCAATGATGCGTACGGGTCATCCGCCGATAACAATGCACCCTCCCTCTTGAATGCCGCGACTACAGTGGCCAGCCCCGGGCCCATGGAGGACTCAGCCTCACAGGATGGGGACCGCCCTCGTCATCGAGATGAAACAGGAATCATCGAAGAAGCGAGCAACAAAGCCTTCTCCTACCCCATGCCTACCGGTAATTTCAGTGACTCTCGTCGCGGGCTCAGCCTGCCAAACTCTGGCTTCAACCGGGGTCAGCGTTCCCCAGGAGCTAAGAAACACCGTTGTCCTTACTGTTCTACCGAATTTACCCGGCATCATAACCTCAAGAGCCACCTGCTCACGCACAGCCAGGAAAAACCCTATGTTTGTCAAACCTGTCAGTCCCGCTTCCGCCGACTCCACGATCTGAAGCGACACACTAAACTCCATACCGGAGAGAGGCCGCATATTTGTCCAAAATGTGGACGTCGGTTTGCTCGAGGGGATGCGCTTGCGCGCCACAACAAGGGTCAAGGTGGCTGTGCCGGTCGACGGTCGAGCATGGGAAGTTTTGCTCCTGATGAAGAATATGGCGATGGAGCCGCTCATGGTTCAGCCGAAGACACTATGGAGGGTCTCGTGTATGCGGAACCGGAGCGCATGGACGAGGAGGAAGAGCGGCGGCTCATGCCCAGTATTCGACGGCATGACGCTTCGATCGACTCCGCATCGCGGGCCAACACGGGCACCTTCCAGTCACGTCAACCGAATACATATCCCCCTATCGCAGCCGGGAGACCCTCTCCAGGAAGCCTCTTCCCCCCGCCAGCTAGCCACGGTGGCGGATCGAGTACCTCTCCTTCACCTATTTCCCAACCTAGCAACTTGACGTTCCCGCCGGCAGGGCAGCCCTCGGGAGCTTCGGTTTTCCAGCCTAACAACACTACTACATCCACTACCGCCAACAATAACATCACCGAGTCTCCCAAGCCCCTCTCTCCTAACGCACTGTCTTCGCAAAATCAACCAAACCATGGTTCAGATGGTCATCGTGCTCACTCGCCCGGTGTGGTGCAGCAACCATTCCAGCAACAACCTTTCAGCAGGCCACCCCCACAGACTGCTGTTCCCACGACTCATGCTACTCCCAGCTTAGGGCTACCCCCTCCGCAACCAGGGGCCCCTCAACTTCCTCCTCCCCCAGGATTGAACGCGTCTGACTCGCGGTTCGCGCTTCACGGACCAACAGCGACAACAGCAAAGCATACTCCTTCGCATAGCCATTCCAGCAACCACAGCGGTGGTCTTCTGGCGACTGCCAAAGTAGGCCCGGAATTGTATTCCGACCCCAACACGGTGGATCCTAGTCGAGAAGACAAGCTGTGGGCCTACATTCGGTCTGTTCAGGAGGAGGTGACGGGTTTAAGGACGGAAGTGGCTGCACTAAGAGCGCAATTTGCGGTATCAAATGGCAACCCTCAACCTCCTTTAACTGAAGCGAACCATGTCAACGCAGGTTCGCGGTGATGAACTACAGTTTGTAGTAATAAAGATGTCTAACTCTGGCCGTGGTCAAGAGGTCATCAGGTCACGGAGAGAAACTGCATTGGCCTATTTAATAATACCCTTCCTTTCAGTTCTTTTGAAATCCATTCTCCATTTTACATTGATTGGCGCATTTTCACTTCTGTTTTGTATTTTGGCATGGTTTTTGACGACAGCTCTTTCCCACACCTTTTCTTTTCTTTTCTTTTCTTTTTTTTTCTTTTCTTTTTTTTTTTCTCACCTCCCTCAACCAGTCCTTCTATTCATTTCTTTTGTTGTATATCTTTGTTTCGAATTCTTGTGTCATATATAGCAATCGTGGCCGACCAACGGTCACATTCACGTCGTGTACTCACTTCTTTTTCTGGTTTCTACTCTTCTTTCGTGTCGCTTTTACTCATTGTTTTGTATGTTGTGGCATTTCATGATTCCTGGTTCTGGCTTAAGGCAGGGAGTATGGAGTGTAATGGAAACCTTAACTCGATACATGATACACTTTATTCGGGATCCTTTTATTATAGCATTAGTTCATGTCTAACAGTGGTATATATACATCTCAAATTATAGACAACGCACCCCCGGCCCAACACTCCCTGTCTCAAAAACCTCCACTAACCCAGCCCCAACCGCCTCCTCCAATACCCACCGAAACCCCATCCCATACAACTCCTTCCACTTCCTCGTCCGTCCCGGTAGAATTCCCGCAAACTCGCCCCTCGCGCGCTTTGCCGCATGAAAGCTTTTGTCAGTTTCCACGGCGCCGTCCCAGCGGTTGCGCAGGAGATAGAGGGGTGCTTCGCGGTGGGTAGATTTCTTCAGGAGAGCGACGAGGTGGGCGCGGCTAGTGTTGAGGAGGCGGAGGTAGGGGCCTGTGTTGGGGAGGGAGAGGAAGAGGGTTGCTGTGTGGAAGCGGCTGCTTTCATCATTATTGGTGATATTGGTATGATTTGGGGTTTGGGACTGGGTGTCGGCTCGACTGGCTGGTGTGAAGGCGGAGGATGGAGGAAGATCTGGGAGGGAAGCTATGCCCAAGGGGCCTTTTGCTAGGGATGATGAGGAGACAAGGAATCCGGCGCGGACTAATGATTGGTATTCGTTGGGAGTGAAAACGCCTGGGGCTATGGCGGAGGACGTCCCGATGCGATTGAGGACGGTGAGGAATTTCTCTACACATAATCAGCAATGCGATCATAACAAAAAGGACGAGAACAAACCCTTCAATTCTTCCCCTAAGCCACTACCCCCAACCAACCCCTCCCATTCTTCCCTAAGCACAAGACAATCCCCTAACCCCGCTGCATCATTCCCCCGCCCAGGAACGATCAACCTCCGCACCTTACCCGTTGTCACCAACTCTACGATCTCCCGCTCCGTCCTCGTCGGCGCGTCAAGCAACGTATGTACGTGCGCCACAGAAACCAGCGGCGGCAGCGAGCTTCTAAAATTCAACACCTCCGCGATACGGGTGCTATTCATCCCTGTGCGGGTTGCGGGGAGATCTTCGAACATTGTGCTGCGAATGTGGTGGATAGCATCGAGGACAGTTGTCGCGGGGGCTGTGGAGGGGATATTCTGTGAGATGCCTAGGTCGGGGAGGTCGAAGTCTTCATCTTCTATGAGGGTGGAGGCATCTTTAAGGGTGTTATTGGCGTTGGAGCGGGGTTTCGTGCGCGAATGGACGGCAAATGGGGAGGAGCGTGCACGGGTGGTTGTGGATTTGCGTTTCTTGATTCCGGAGACAGGCGCTGAGGTGAGTCGCAATGGCATGCCTGTACACAAAAAAAAAAAAAAAAAAAAAAAAAAAAACACAGTACGGAGTAGTCGATTGCAAAGTACAGAAGTAGAAGTGGTCGGATCCGTCGCAGGGGGATTTTCGCGATAAGCGATAAACCGATAATACACGTGACTTAGAATAACACTAACCAATAAAACCCAACCATGCGAACATCCTCACATAAGTCGTACTCGGCGTCTGAAGCATCAAATTTAACAGCTCTTGTTTGTGTCCTGTACTTTTAACAGATAAGAAAATCGATTCATTGTCAGACCTTCCATTGCAGAAACAGGGCATTGTGCGTTCTTCTGGTCCTTACCAAGTTCTCCGGTAACTAGAGCTCATGACGTAACAATCGCGTCCTGCTATCTCTATTTCAGTTCCGGTTCGATTCCTTTGCGATTGACATTCGAGTCTATAGTGGTTTTGTCTCTTTCTATCCGTTATATCTTGCATATTGTTGTGTCTACTTTGTATGTTGCGACTTGAAGTATCTCTTCTGCATCGTCTTTTTTCTCATTTTTGACACCCCGCAGTGGGCTTACGGCTGAATCCGGCATCATGACTATCTTCATTGCCTCATTGTACGTTGACTCTAGAGCTGATCTATCGTCAATGACAACTACTGACGATACAGATTCCTACCATATACCATCAACTTCCATGTCAACAAATCACGAAGCCGCCGTCCCTCCCGAGTCCCGAGCCCCCTCCCACCAAAAACAACACCCGAAGACATCCCACCAGCAACCACCAGTGCCCCCCTCAGCTTATTCGACCAGCAGCATGGCGCCAAGAAGGTCGGGTTGACCCCTGGGGCTACGACAGAGCACGAGCGCATCTTCTCCTCGGACCCCAACAAGGTAGAGCAAAAGCAGCAGGAATATCCGTTCCCCGGGTCGACGAATGAAAAGGATACCTTGACTGGGAGTGAAGCGCACTCGCCCGCATGGGGTGCAACGACGTCGCTAAACCAACCTCGACCTCAGGCGGCGTTTGCGGCGAGTCCGTCGATCCTTAAACATCAGGATACCCTTCTGCCGGTGATCGGGGAGCAAGAGCCATCAAAAGCAAAGGAACACCCGGTTTATACAACGCGGGCTGAGCATGGACGGGCCGAGTCATTTTCCAGGGCTGAATGGACAATCGAGACCGCTGAGCAAGGGAATGGGGGTCTGCGGAACGCCGTCCGGTCCGCTACTGACGCGGGGCAGCTGGAAAATAAGATCTGGGTTGGAACGCTGGGAATGCCGACAGATGCGTTGGTGCAGCAGACCAAGTCGACGATTGCACAAACGTTGGAGAAGGAGCAAGGGTCACTGACAGTATTTGTTAGCGATGCTGATTTCGACGGGCACTATACGCATTTCTCCAAGACGATTCTGTGGCCCGTGTTTCACTACCAGATTCCGGATAACCCCAAGAGCAAGGCCTACGAGGACCACTCGTGGATTTATTATGTCAAAATTAACCAGGCCTTTGCAGAGCGGATCGCGCGGAATTGGAAGAAGGGGGATTCGATCTGGATCCAGGATTACCATTTGCTGCTAGTCCCGGCTATGCTGCGCAAGTTGTTGCCGGATGCGCCGATTGGCTTCTTTTTACACATCGCCTTCCCGTCCTCAGAAGTGTTCCGATGTTTAGCTCCTCGGAAAGAGCTTCTTGAGGGCATGCTAGGAGCGAATCTGATCGGTTTCCAGACTGATGAGTATTGTCGTCACTTTCTCCAGACGTGCAGTCGGATACTATCCGTGGAGGCCACCAATGAGGGTCTACAAATGGAAGATCGCTTTGTTAATGTATCCACCTTCCCTATTGGGATTGATCCGACCTCCTGGGACAGACGACGTCAAGCGGGGGATGTTGAGCAGTGGATCAGGACGATCTCTGAAAGGTACCAGGGCAAACGACTGATCGTATCGAGAGACAAGATTGATCAGGTACGGGGGATTCGACAGAAACTTTTGAGTTATGAGTTGTTCCTTAACTCTTATCCTGAATGGAGAGATCAAGTACGTTTATTTTTATTTTTATTTTTGGTATAGGGACTGGTATGGCTAATAATGATAGGTGGTTTTGGTCCAAGTGGCAACGAGTACCACGGAACAACCTGAGCTAGAAGCCACGATTTCCGACATTGCGATGCGGATTAATTCTATGCATTCTACGTTGGCGCATCAACCTCTGGTCTTCCTCAAGCAGGACCTCGCGTTCCCCCAATACCTGGCTCTGATCTCTGTGGCGGATGCTCTGATGATCACCAGTCTCCGCGAGGGAATGAACCTGACCAGCCATGAATTTGTCTACTGTCAGGACGGGAAGTACCAGGGGTATGGAAATAAGAAATACGGTTCCTTGATTCTCAGTGAATTTACCGGAAGTGCGTCTGTATTTGGCAATCACGCACTGTTAGTCAACCCATGGGACTACCGACAATGTGCCGAGGCGATTCGTGAAGCACTCTCGCGTGGTGAGGAAGAACGCCAGCAGGTCTGGACGGAGCTTCACCAGGCCGTGCTGAAAAATTCGACGGCCAACTGGGTCAAGTCGTTCAGTGAGACATTAGCTCGGGTATGGCACGAGCAATCGTCGCGGGAGATTATATCTGTGCCACGCCTCCCGATGGACCAGCTGGAGGAACGGTACCAGCGAGCCCCGCGTCGCCTGTTTATTGTCGACTACGAGGGTACGCTTGCTTCGTGGGGCTCGCCGAAGAGCATCATCGTCACAACACCGCAGCGGGCAATCACCACGCTGACTGAACTGACAGAAGACCCCCGGAACATTGTATACGTGATGAGCGCAAGAATGCCAGAGGAAATGGAACGACTATTCAGTCGAGTTCCTGACGTGGGCTTAATCGCAGAAAACGGCTGTTTCGTGCGCGAGCCCCATCAGGAAGAATGGCTCATGCTCACGAACCAAGAACGAACCGCAGCATGGAAAGACGGCGTAGGCCACATCCTAGCGTACTACCAAGAACGGGCGGACGGAAGCTGGATTGAGCGCCGGCACTGCTCACTCGTCTTCCACCACAGCTCAGCAGAGGACCAACATGCGGCGGCACGACTGGCCTCTGAATGTGCAGGGCACATCAACGATGCCTGCGCCAACCAGGGTATTCACGCTCTTCTCATCGATGGGGCACTAGTCGTGGAACCAGCGGGCACAAACAAGGCATCTGCAGCGGAAGCAGCATGGCAAGATATTGTCCGTACGGCAGCGACAGATGAAGGCAAAGAACGACCCAGTTTCTTGCTCGTAATTGGTGACGGACGCGATGACGAGTGTGTATTCCGGTGGGCAAACAAGTTGGAGCAGAAGGGAGGAATTGAGTATGCTATGACGGTAACGTTGGGGTCACGGAGTACGGAGGCTAAGGCGGCCTTGACGCAAGGTGTTACTGGTGAGTTTCCCCTTATTTACACCATGAATAGACGTGGCTAACAGGTATAGGTGTGCTTTCTTGTCTAGAACGATTGGCGGTGCCGAGCCCGTGAATGATGGATACATGATGTGGATACATGGAGCATAGTATAAGACTGGACATAAAAGTGATATGATGTGAATAGCATAGAATGTAATGTATCTAGGAGTCAGTTTGACAGTCACATGTTCAAGATATTTGAGTGAATGGCACCAGGACTTGTATTAAACACTGGGTCTGATTCTTCCTCCCCTGTTTATATATTTCCCATTTTTCCGTTCTAGTCCCATTTCGATCGCCTAGCTTTGTGGTTCCCCTTATGATGCACTTCGCCAACTTCTTGGTAATCAGTCAAAATGACGACTATCGATAAATTAAAGTATAATCAAAGCTTCAGTTACACGATGCCGGCACGATGACATTGGTAATAAGAACGAAGTCTACTGTTTACTACGACCAATATTTCTGACCTTGTGATCAGTACTGTCCCCATTCCATTCTCACATGTCCACTGAGACTAAGCTACATTTTCAGAGAAAATCCTAGGGTCAGCTAGAGTACTACAATAGTCTTTTCTATCATCTAGCAGAAGCCGCCTACCAAGCCATTGCAGGACATATAAAATGGGCACCAATGCGAAGGGAAGTCTCGAAGGGCCCTTCTCAAACAACGAGTCTTCATGAGAAGAAAACATTACCGAGGAAAGAGGGCCCACGTTTCATAGGGCTGGTGAGTCTCTTGTCCATTAGAGGGATCACATTCGCATTATTTTGCCTATCGGGGTGCTTTTAATTCAAACCTGATGATTTCAGTGTGAGATATGATTTTGACATCTCTAGCTTATCTGGAATAGGGAAATCCTCATCACTGGTATAACTGACACCGATGAGTTAAAACGTTACTAATGACCTAGAATGTGACAGTTCAATTCTGCTCATCCATTACGCCGGTCAAATGTTCCTCTCCGGGCACTATATCGCCAGGGCCGATCTTACAGGCTAGATAGCTGGACGCTGAGTATCCAATCGCATCCAAAGACCGTGAATTTGATGCACCTCGTACTATGAGCTACATACAATTAACAATCTAGTCGTAATTATCATCGACAGTCAGTAAAGAAGCACCTTTCTCTTTCAACGGCTATTGCAATGGAAGTGCCACAAGGGGTTCCCGCAAGTCAGTTGTCGAGGTATTTCGCAACAGACGCTCGGGCATCTGATAACCGTTAAAAAAAGGGAGAATACTTAAGAGAAGAATAATGTCGACGTGGTTTGGCACATCATTACATCTTACTATCTTACGGAATGTGGGCCGTTGGCAAGTAGTATGTTTCTCCTATTCTCTCTAGTCAACATATGGATACAGCTAACACTGATGCTTCGCTCCGGAAAAGTTAAGCCAACATAAGTTGTCATATACACTGTCCAGACAAGAACAGAGAAGTATCGCTTCGATGCCTGATGGGGATAGAAGAAGCCCTAATAGCTCTTTGGGGAATCCCTACTTTGACCTAAGCCAGCAATAACACTGAGAAATCGCTGCTACTAGCCCAGTACACCAGAAACAGCTTAATAGGCTCCTTGGAAAACAACTCACGTTCTGTTTAGCTCCATTCTAATCGTCAAGAGGCACGAAGTAGACACTTCCCACTTCCAAAACCTCCTACAGCCGAATTAGTTAGGCAACGGATCGAAACTAAGTACAAGGTACAAACCATTGGTGCTGGGTTTTGCAGACATTAGAGTACTACGCACCAATGAGCATAATTGTAGAGCAAGTGTAATTAGCAAGTCTAGTATTGTCAGGCAGGAAGTTGGAGGCCTAAGATGAGGTGACTCAGTTGTGATATTGGCTCCAATCAATCAATTAATTCCCCACACCTGGAAATTCTGTCTTATAACCAGTACTTTAAGTTTACTTTTGAATGCCAACAATGTCTACATTAACCAAAGAAGAGTTTACCAAAACACCCACAAAAGTGCTTAACCACCAGCTCTGGCTTTATTCAATGATCGATGGTATTCCCCATACGAATCAGACAAATTAAGCCCAAAAGCCGAGTGCAAAGACTTCCAGGACACCCTCAAGACACTGAGGAGCACCAAATCCCCCAATCTCTTTCAAATCGAACAAGGTAGCCGGTTCCCACCACAGAACGTCTTGCAGAAGCTTTATGACAAATATAGTGCTCTTATAAGTACTGAAGGGAGGCCGTTGTTACTCCTCCACTGTTCTGGCTACAGTTGACTGGGGTGGGGGAAGAATGAACTCACGCTGGGTCTCAAAACAGCCAAACCCATCTGCTGGAGTCGATTCGTTTGGGAGATAACGGATCCTCTTCACTTAGAAAGGAATGAGCTTATTGACAACCTTGTAATCCTCGATTCCTGTTATATTTGCCTAGCTACCCGTGCAAAACCTGCTGAACGTGTTTTTTAAGTGGCAGTAGCGGCTACGACAAAAGATACTGCGTCTGGAGAAGATACACCCCAACACGAGCCTTTCTCCTCTAAGCTGGCTAGTTACCTCACCAGATGGAAAGAACATGGTCCGATTTCGATTGACTTTACCGCAGCTATCATGGCTATCTTGGCCGAATCTACGAGCAGAAAGCCTACATATGAAATCGTGTTTGGAGATACTTTGATTGGCATTCAACTTGGCTCTCTGTCGCAAGATATAAGTGCTTCATCTCCCTCACAAGCCGGTCGTACTACAGCACTGCAGTTGTTCAGGTCCATTTGGCAGATGTGTTTAATGATGAGATTTGTCAGAAACTTTCTAAATGGACTAGGTAGTTTGACCCAGATCATCCGATCACCGTTGAAAGGGCTTATGTGACTGATGGTTCAACACCTCTCATCTTGAAAATGCCGTACAATGTCTTCTTGAGAACGGGACTTGGGGAGAGATATCTCATTGGATTGGTCAAGGGCTGTGCCGTGGATAGATCAGTGTTAACATTGGTTGTCTATATATGCTGTATGCTTCACTATAATTTCTCTTGGCCCCTGTTAATTGCTGAGAAAGTCACTGCAAGAATAACATCAGAGCCTTAACAATAATGCGCACATAGTAGGCCCATGTCTGCTCGCGCCTTTGGTAGTAGGGCAGATTAGTCACTTTTTCATAGGCCGAATGGACGCCGAGCCGAGGTTGCTCGAGGCTAACCATTAGAATAACTCCGAACCACGATAAGGATTGGTTTAAAGACAATATCCGGGTGAGATACTTTCCTACTCCTTCTTCTCTCCTTTTTGCTTCTTATCCCGCTGTTTTTTTTTTTTTTTTTTTTTTTTTTTTTTTTTTTTTTTTTTTCCTCCGTCTGGGCAAGCACAATGACACAAAACGCAGCCTTTGAGCAGGCGATCAAAGTCACGCCGCTAGGATCGCATCGCTACTCGGCGGTCTTACAGGATGACTGGTGTATAGGAACAGGTACATCCCTATACTTCGTACATTCAATCAAGGAAACCTGCTAATAAGCCACAGTTCCTCACGGTGGCTACACAACTGCGCTTCTCTACCGCCTTGCCACAACCCATTTCGCGCACACCCATCCAAACCATTACAAAGACACAGCAACCCCGATCTCCATCCAACTCGCCTTCCTCCGTCGCACGTCTACTGGACCGGCCACGCTGACCGTCGAAGACAGCAAACTGGGCGCGCGGACTAGTACCATTCACATTACTTTACAACAACCAAGTGAGAAAACCGGGAAGGAAGAGGTGAAGGTTACAGGGTATATCACCGTGAGCCCCGCGAGTGTGGAGGTGGGCATCAGCGCGAGGACGAACTGGGAGTTACACCCAGCTGCACCAGAGGTTGATCTTGGTGTGCTTGGGAAAACAGGGGAGAGCGGAATCTGGAAACGGTTCAGGGCCCCATTTACAGAGTTCCGGAAGGCGTCGAGACATCTGGAGTTGCATTATCCCGAGGATTCCAAGATCGAGGGTGAAAAACTTGGAGTGGTGGATCAATTAGCGCGGTTCTGCCCTGGTGGTGACAGTCAGGGTCGCTGGACGAATGAAGCCCTGGTGTACTTGGTCGATATGTTCCCCAAGGCGTTGGAACGGTTCGATCAGACGGCGTCGTCGGAAACTCCTGGTATCGCAGGCAAGTCGTGGTATCCGACAGTCACGCTGAATGTGGATTTGAAGAAGCGGTTACCGGCTGAAGGTGTGGAGTGGTTGCATAGCCGTGTGATCAACAAGGTGATGCGCGATGGACGGATGGATATTGAGGTGGTTGCTATGGATGCGTCAGGGGAGGTGGTAGCTGTTGCGACGCAGGTGGGATTGGTGATGAGTGCGAGTCGCAATGTTGGACGGAGACAGAAGCTATAACCACCTAATTATAGGGGTACATCTATAGAATGTGTATAGTACGGTGTATATACATAGTGCAGTACATAATATCATAGATTAGACTTGGTCTGCAGCCAAAACGCCATGGCATCCGTAGTGACCACCTTCCTCTTCGGCCACTCCAGATGCATCTGCTTCGGGTCGTCAACCTTTTCCTCCTGTACAATTTGTGCGCGCACCCAGTATTTCCTCCCCTGTCTCGCAACAACCTTGGCCCTAACCATGGCCACCGTAGGCACAAGCAACGGCCTCTTATACCTCACATCCAATTGCGCCGTATAAATCTTCCCCCTTGGATTATCTGTACTCGAATCACCCCCCGAATGCGTCGCAACCGCCAACGACATCGCCTCATCCAACAACGTCGCCACAACACCCCCATGCACTGTCCCCGGATGCCCACAGATCCCCGGCGCACTCAAATCCACCAACAAAATCACATCCGGCGGAGAAACAGTGGGCGCGGAGGAAGGCGTCGCAGTGGGCGCGGGCCAGACGGGTGCTTCGGTCGGGGGTGTTGAGAGCGCGCGACGGCGGAGCGTCAGGACATGGGGGATGGTGCTGGGTGTTGCTAGGGTGGATGCGAAGTAGTGGTCTTCGCCGGAGGGTTTGGGGTTGCGCGAGTCAGTGGGGATCGCGGTGTAGTCGTTTGTGGTGAGGGTGGTGTTGAGGAGGGAGGCGATCCAGTTGTTTTGGAGGGAGTGGAAGTGGGAGAGGGAGGAGGGGAGGGGGTCGGACATTTTGCGTGTGCCCCTTATTGGATCTTATTGGGTAGCTTATTGATAGAGAGTGGTATGTACTTGTATAGAATAGAGTATATGTACAAGTATGTTATGGATGTGATATAGCAGTTGGCGATATTCTACGGATCTACAAGACTACCTCGGTTCGGTTCGGCAGGAACTGCAGGGTCTTTCGATAGTATTATCGTTTATCGTATATTTACTCCGCACAGTAATATAAAACTCAATTGACTTGTATTAGTATGTACTTTTCCGGAAAGTAGACAGCTGCAGAGGTATGGACAAGCAAGGGTCGGAATGTGCTCGCTATGTTACAGGGTCTATCCGTGATCGACTCTATACAAAGGTATACAGAGTAGCACCATTATCGTATATCGTATATCGTACACCATAGACCGAGATAAGTGAAACGCAAAACGTATGAGATAGCAGTGGCGACTCTTCAGTGGACTAGCAAGAGCTAACAGGGTCTAAATTCACCGGAAAATTGCAAAAGTCACCGGCGCCTCCCAAAAATGGGAATTTGCTCCTTCCTCGCGCTGTTTGAATCCGGCATTCCTTGTTTTGCCGCCTGTTTTTAAGCTCTTCTTGTTTCCCCCTCCTGCAATTCTTCTTTTTTTTTTTTCTTCAACGCTGCATCGGTTTTTCAATTTTATATCCTAATTTTTATCCGTTGCTATTCTGCAGAGCACTATTGTCTACTGTACGTATTACGAATACTACAATACTACGACAATGCTCCCTCTGACCGTCCTCTTCTCTCTGGTCGCGGCCTCTGCTGCCCAGAACTACTCCTTCCCCAAAGGGTTTGACGTCGAAAGTGTCGAACTGGCCACTCGCTGTATGTATTTTCTACTACCCTAGGTGTATGGATTGGTCTGACGATCACAGCGTCCTGGTGTACTGCTCAGCGCAGCACCTGCCCTAAGATCTGCAATGGCAAGACTGACGAGAACAGCTGCGAGCCGGTATGTAACATCCAGAGACTACTGAGAATGAAAATGACTGAAACTAACCGGCACAGGAATCCCTCACCTTCTCCTGCAAATGCGACAACGGAACCGTCGACGTCGAGCCCTACAAGCTGACCGTTCCCTTCTTCGTCTGTCAAGCCAACTTTGGCAACTGCATCGCTGGTCATCCCGACGACGCTGACGGCCAGGACCAGTGCAAGAAGGACAACAAGTGTGGTACTCTCAATGCCACCGAGACGGCCTCCAAGTCAGACTCGGAGTCGTCTTCATCTGCTTCCGAGTCGTCTTCGCCGTCCTCCAGCTCAACTGCCACCTTGACCACCCACCAATCGGACAACTCGGACTCGGCTGCGGCCAGCAGCTCTCCTTCGACCACGGCCAATGCGGCGGCAGCTCTGCGTATGGTTCAGGAACAATCGACCGGCGTGTTTGCGACGGCGTTGTTGGTTGTTATGGGATTGGCCCTGTAATCCCGCACACAAAGTACTCTGGTTGTCTTGTTTCGTTCCGTCTCTGCTGTCAGTTTTGACTCATGTATATCCGCCATGGCCATTTTGTATGGTGATGGCAACTGCATATGCCTCGACGCATGTCTGTCCTTAAAATAGCGCGCATACTTTAATCATAATTTTAATCACTCCTTATAATGTATTGAATCATGGTAATTCTGTATGAGAGAAATGAATAGTACTGCAGTAGTACATACTCTGTAGCGTTGGTCGATCTCCGCCCATCGTTTTTGATATTCGGATGCCAAGACTTTTGCCCACAGTGAAATTTGCACTTTATCGATAGCCGCATCACCACTCGAACCTCACTTTTTACCTTCTCCTTTTCCTTCTATAATCTTTATTGCTGATATATTGAATATATCAAAATGCCCGCCCCTACTACGACCCTCCTCATTGAGGGCAGCTTCTCCGAACTCGCCGAGGAGTTTGCCCAGTACCTCGACGCTCTGCGCAAGGAAGAATCGTCGTCCCTCCAGTCCGAAGTTGCCCCCCTCCTCGAGCCTCTTCGCCAGCAGGAACAGAATGAACAGGAGCCGGATCTGAAGCAGCGCGATGAGCTTCTCAAGAAGTTGGTTGCTGGTGCGACCGTCTTGAACGCGGCCCCGGAGAAGGGTATGTTCACCAAAGAAGAACCAAGAGAACGAAAAGAAAAAAGAACGAAACTGACTGGACAGAAATCACTCCGGCCTACAATCTCCTCCTTCACCTCATTCACCAGGCCTCCGACCCGAGTGTCTTCCTTTCCCGTGTCTGCACCTACCTCGCCAAACCCATCACCAGCTCCCCTCAGTACGGCCCCTCGCTGGCCATCTCCATCCTCTCCACCGTGTTCAACACTCTCCCTCCCTCCGACGTCAGCCGGTACCACGTCCTGTTGGCCATTATTGCCGTCATCCGCCAGTCCAGCTCCATCTACACCTTCGAGGCTCTCAAGCCGCAATTGACTACCCAATTGCCCAACTGGCTGGCCGCCTGGGAACTCAACGAGGAGGACGCTCAGAAACTGCACTTGGCCGTTGCCGAGACCGCCCAGGCCGCTGGTGACAACGGACTCGCCCAGACCCACGTCCTTGAGGCCCTGCAAACCATTCCCGCCGACAAGGCTTCGTCCAAGGAAGCCCGCGAACTGGCCATCCGCGCTCTTACCACCGCCCTCAAGCAGCCGACCATCTTCGACTTTACTTCCCTAACTGCTTCGGACGCCGTGCAGGCCCTCCGCTCCAGCGACAGCACGCTTTTCGAACTGCTTGAGATCTTCACCTCGGACACGCTCGATGCCTACGACGCGTTCATCTCTGCCTCCCCACTCGCGTCCATCTCCGGTGGCGTGCTGACTGATGCTGGCGACGCTCTGCAGGACAAGATGCGTCTGTTGACTCTTACCTCGCTCGCCGCATCGACGCCCTCGCGCTCGCTCCCCTACTCCACCATCGCCTCCGCACTGCGCGTCCCCGCTGAGGACGTCGAGAAATGGGTGATCGACACCATCCGCGCCGGTTTGGTCGAGGGTAAGCTGTCGCAGCTGCGACAGGAGTTCCTGGTCCACCGCGCGACCTACCGTGTGTTCGGTGAGAAGCAGTGGTCTGAGGTACAGGGTCGGTTGATGGTCTGGCGGCGCAGCCTGGAAAGCGTCCTTGGAGTTATTCGTAACGAACGGGAACGGTTTGTGCGTGAGAGCATGCAGCAGGCTGCTACTGCGGCCGCCGCGGCTGATGGTGAAAGCAAGGGAGACAAGGGTGGAAAGAGACGGAATCAGCAGCAGACGCAGCAGCAACAGCCAGCACAGGCCCAGGCCCCTGTTGAGGTTGCTGAGTAAGTGATAGTGGAGGATACTGCTAGAAAAGTGTAATGATTGGGATATCTTATTTGCACATGGTTTTAGTTCAATCTAGTTTATTTCTTTTGTTACCAAAATACGAGTTATGTTATAGACATATGTGAATTGGCAGGACGGATAAAGTCCATTATGGTATGCTCACTACGTTCGCACACATTTACTCAACAGGGAACAACCCCTTGCTAGCAATCCCCTCCTTAACCCTCTGATAAACCTCATCCACACCCCCCGTCGCCTCCACAGAAACAACCTTATCCTGCTCCCCAAACGCTGTAACAACAGGCATACTGGTCTCCACAAAAACCCGGAACCTCTTCCGAATCGACTCGGCATTGTCATCGTCCCTCCCACTCGTCTCCCCGCGCTTCATCAATCTCTTCTCCATAACCTCCTCGGGACAGTTCAAAAACAGCGTCATCTCACTCGGGCAAACTGTCTGCTCAAAAAACACCGCTTGATCAAGCTTCCTCGGGAACCCATCAATCAAGAACCTAGCTTTTCCATCCTTCCCAGTCTTAGGCTTGTTGGCCAACGCTTCGGCCATGGCATTGGACAACAACGCGACGGTGATCTCCATGGGCACGATCTTGCCCTCTTTTATGTATGAACGGATGAGGTCGCCGTACTGTGAGCCCTCGCGAATTTGTTCGGCGCGGAGCAGGTCGCCGGCAGACAGGTGGGTGAAGGCGTAGTCACGGACGAGGTTGGTGGATTGGGTGCCTTTGCCGGAGCCGGGGCCGCCGAGCAGGAAGACGACTGTTATGTCTTGGGGGGAGAAGCGGGGTTGCTTTTGGTCGGACATTTTGGTTTTGTTGTTTGGTTTAGGTGGGTTTGTTGGATAGGATAGGTGTTAAGTGGGTGGTAAGGTTACTGTTGCGCCCGAGATCTCACAAGGAACACGTAAGAACCGGAGCCGAGCCCGATGATAGCGAGGAACGGAAGGATTTTAAAATTGGAGCGGCTTTGAGGCCTGTATCGCGTATTCTTGTCCGAGGACGAGGAAGTGTTGGAAGAAGTAGAGGTGTTGGGAGAAGAAGAATAGGGGCGCCGGATGCAGTGGTGGGGTCGTAGTGTTGATCGAGCGGGAGCGACGAGGCGGGCAGAGAGAGACATCTGCAATATAAGTATAGAGATAGGGATTTAGGGATTGAATGGAGAATTGAGCAATTGGGCAATTGAATAGGAAAGGAACAATATAGGGAGGGGAATTCAGAGAAGTCAGAACTGTTAGTAAACTGGGGAAAGAAAACTGTTCCGTAAATCGTCCCGGTTGGATATTGCCGTTTTGGGAATAGTGTTGTTGATGTTGTATGTACCTGTATAGATCAAATAGGGTTGATTAAAGATTAGGAGCACAAAGGGCAAATGAGTCTAACAATGGGTCTGAATGACTCTATGTTTTGTTTGGCCAAGTGAGTGACAGTGAATATCCTGCCGTTGCCCTTGTTTACATCTTTTCCCCTCCTTTCCCTACGCACTCTACATCGTCCACTTCTCAACTTTCATGAAATATCCTATATTGCGCCAAATTGACTGAAACCAAGCCAAACCGGCCCAATAAAATCATCAATGCAGCCCCAAACTCAGGATTCCCTGCGTGATGCTCGCGGTGAACGCGGTGGACGCGTGAGCAGTCGAGGACGAGGACGTGGGCGAGGTGGACATGAACGCGGCGGTAGTCAAGCGAACACCACAGTATGTCTTTTTTCTACTTTGTGTCTATGGTATCTAACTCGTCATATCAGGAAAGTGCAATGGCTGCGGCGTCTACACCTGCAGCTACAGCTGCACCAGAGGAGAGCCCTAATCAGAACCAGAGAGGACAGAAGGTATCTCTATCCCATATCTCTGCTTGCTCTCCATTTAATGCAAGCATACCCGCAGAAGTGGACGAAGATCTAGCAGGGGTCGAGGAAAAACCTCACAGCCGCAGGCGAGCCCTAACACTCGTTTTCAGTCCTTATTACAGGAGAATACTAACCATCGCAGTCGCAGTCAGAATCCCAACAAAACCAACAAGCTAGAGCAGCTCAGTTAACTCCTACTGAGAAGAAAAAGAAGGACAGAAAGAAGAAAGCTGCACCGGAACCCCCAGACGCAGCGAACCCTACTGGCAAAACACCCAACAAAAAAGGAAACAAATCGACTCCACTCCCCCAAAAGATCAAGCCATCCCTAACAATCGTCCCCATCGAAATCCGCTGGAGAATCTACAATTATATCTTCCAACCAACATACCGCGTCGCGATCACCCGCCAAAAACCAAAATGGACACCTTCTCCCACCGACATGCGAAAACGCCTCTACCACACCCGTCTTCCCTACCGTAACCCAAAAACGCAATTGAGTCCGCACGATTCGAAATATAACCAAGTCATTCGTCTACAGAATCCGCTCCCGATCTCGCTGATATTCAGCTGCAAGGCTATCTACCGTGAGACGATATTGCATTTGTACGCGAATACGCAGTTTGTTTTCAACAGTACTCGCGCACTGGATCGGTTCTTGCATACGACTAGTGCCCAGATGCAGGAGACTATTCAGCACATTGAGCTGAATCACATCATGTATAACGAGCCGCGGCTTCTGGGGTTTAGAGTGTTCAAGCACCGGTCTGATCTAGCCTGGTACTGTGCATGCGAGGATTTGGCGGTTGCGTGCAAGTCGTTGAAAGTGCTGCACATTAGCATGAAAATTTGGGATTGGCCGATACATCTCAAGCTCGGGGAGCGGTGGTCGTGGCCGTTATTGGTGTTTGAGCGGTTTGGGAATAAGGTTGATTTTGCGAGTGTGGCACTTCAGATGTGTAAGTTTGAAGAGGAGAAGTTAAAGGAGGTGAGCAGGGAGGTGGAGAAGAGACTCATGAGGAGTGAGGCATGGCAGGTGAGAGAGGATGAGAAGATGGCGAGGGAGATTAATGGGAAGGTTAAAGCGAATAGGATTTTGAGGGTTGTTTTTTAGTTGTTATCGTTATTTTTTTGTTTGTTATGAGCATACATGGTTATTATGCATAGATAAGAGTATAGGTATTAACGAATTGACTTTTCTATAACGGAATTATGTACATGAATCATTATACAAACCTCCACTGAGTGGTAGATCATTCCTCACCCTCGCCCTGCGAAGGAACCTCATGATATGCCAGCATACGTCTTCTTCGCAGATACCAAACAACCCCAACAACAAGGCCAAGCCCTGACTCCGTTACCAGGATAAAAATCAACAACCCGCCAACACCCTTGATCATCTCAAACGCCCGGACCATCGCCTTGGCTGCTTTTTCAGCCTCCAATGCTTCGTTGTCCACCGGCTCCTCAACGTCCGCTTCAGCAGCTTTCGCGTGTCCGTACAGAATCGACGGATCGGCTGCTATTGGCTTCGATTCACCCTGGAAGCCGGATAGCCGCCAGTTCTCCGGTGTATCTGTGCGGTGAACATCCGACGTACCCAGGACGTTGCCGTCCGCGTCGACGGCTTCCGCAGTGACCCAGTCGAGATACCCGTTGGCGACGTATATCGTTTCGAAATCTGTCTTTGTGGTGTTGCCTACCAGCACGGGGATACCGTGTGCCCCGGGCCGTGCGTAAAAGTTCCATATCGCAATATCCGTAGCCCCATTCCAGCTAACGTAGAACATAGTCATGAAGTCGTCCTCGCTCGTCCCATAGACGGAAGACAGCATGTCCGGTGGTGTGGACGGTCGCCCGATAAACGGGTACTTGTACGAGCGGTAGCTGGAGAAGCGTGTTGAGGCAAAGCTCGCCTGCATGAGTGTCTTCCCCCCCGGGGAATGCTCGCTCATGTACCCACGCTCACTCCAGCCGACGAAGACGTTGTCGTTGGGAAGGTGTTGAACGCTACCACGGAGACGGGTAAGACTGCCGTCAGGGCGGTTGTGGCGGCGGATTTCGCGCGCGTTCATGGGTGTTGTTGTGGTGTCGATTTCGACGAAAAGGGCTGCGGAGGTGCCTTCCTCCGCCTCGAGTTCGTCGGAGGCGTTGTTTAGGAAGGAGATGACTGTTTTGTTAGAGTTGGATTGCACAAAGTGCGCGTGGTGTTGCTTGGAGAATGTAAAGTCCTGCACGAAGTCCGAGTACTTTCCGCCCAGACGCCAGATGATATGTCCGTCGTCGCCGGAGATGAGATAGATGGTGTTGGTGAATCGTGCGGATAGTATGTAATCGCCATCCTCGTTCTTGTCGATCGAGTTGACGTGCAGGAAGTCCCATCCTGGCTGGGGTGCCGGTGCATCCCAGGGGTTGACCTTGACGGACTCGTGAAGCGGGATGTGGCCGAGGGAGCTCCATTCGAACAGCACTTTTCCTGTGGTCGTGTCGACTTCCACGAAACCACCGGGCTGTACCCAGCCGTACTCATCAGGACGACCTAGGTCCCCGAGGGAGATATACTCGGATCGGTATGCGCACGCCAGAGCCGTCTTTCCGCCGGGGAGGACGTTAAACTCGTGCATGTTGAACGCAGACAGATCGTTGGTCACCTGAACCGCATATTCAGGCTCATAGTGCTGATCCAGAATGTACCCGGTTCCCTTATCCTGAGAATCCCCATATGCATGTTGCAAGATAAACGACAAACGCGGCTTGTCGTCGATGTTATCCACCACCTTAAAGTCGAAGATATTCCGGTTATCGAACATGCAGGAACCCGCCCAGATGAGCACGCCATCGGCATCGTAGATATAGGGCCCGACTTGGCATGGCTTCCACTGCTTTGTGGGAGCTTCGGGCTCGATTACTCCATACGGAGCAACGAACCAGTACCCAGGACTGGCAGATTCGCGATCATAGTAGGCGATGTCGAGTTTCAGTGCTCTTACGCCGGGAAGCTGTAGCTATTAGCACATACAGCTATCCACAGTAGTAGGCAGACGTACGGTGACAAAAGACATTAAATCGTCATCGTCGGTTTTTGCATTGGCAAAGCCCAAAAAAGGTAATAATAAACACCACCAAAGCATATCGAATAGCTAATTTTCGTCCACCGAAAATAACAAAACGGAAAGAGAAAAAAAGAAGAGAAAGAAAAAAGGCAAGAAGAAAAGAAAAGGAGACACGCCAGACCAACTAACTCGTTAAAACGGCCGCGTACGTCGTCGCGTACGTTGCGTCGTCGTCGTCGGTGGACAGTGAGTGGGCTGGTGGTATAACTTTCACCCTCCTCCACACAGGGGAAATATCGGTTTAAGAGTTGGAAATAATAAATGGTCCTAACGGCCGGTTGAAAAAGCCAACGTAATAAACACGCCGCCGATATACAATTCGGCGATGATCCTGGGCCTAGTATTCTTGGCAGTTTCGTTTCCACTCCGAATAGGTATCCATCCACCGCGCGGTCAGACGTACATACTGCTAATCGGCTATCAGACGATGTGTAGGGGTACTTGTATAAAGCCCAGGAGTACACTGTGCTTTCTATGGCATCGTGGTATGTAGCGAAGTATATGTATACAAGCGATATCGCCACGGAACCATGTGCGCCGATCGGCCGTTCTGGAAAAATCGCCAGTGCGTCTGGGGTTGATTATCTGCACTGCGGTGAAGAAAGACATGTCCCTCCATATAAGCATACAAACAGAATATTACCGCATGATGGCTGCACTGGCAGTGTTTAGTAGACCTTCCGACTATCTGCTTCGTGGGCACTCCGTCTGATTCTCTTTGCCGACCTCGGGGGCAGTCCACATACATCCCAGCTATATGATTTCTTGACCGCGGGATAAGCTATCTCGTTCATGGATATCGCAGACAGACGACTCCGAAGCTAACCCGGCATTCTTAACCTCAATTTGCTGTCTCATTGCTACGATCTCGCCTGCATCAATCACACGCCTGCCAATTAACTAATTACCACCGGTATCAACTCCCATACCGTGTGTCTGAAGTTGATTATTAGCCGGTCCCGTACGGATATATAAGCCATGGGTATGTTTCTCCGATGCTCGCTTGCTCCCGAGGGCAGACCGTTGGTTCTCTCTGTCATCTCCGACAACTTTGTAACGCCCAGTGATTGGGACGTGCACGGTGTGTTTGTGTAAAACAGAACTTTTACCGAAGGTGTATTCAGTAGGATGTTAAGGTTTTAGGTTTTTGCAGTTTTAAGAATATAATGGCGTCGTATCATTTTCCTTATCGATCAATCTAAACCAAAAAATGGCTAGCAGGTGTCCACGGGAGCTTTTATGTGGGGTTTATTCATCTCTTTCTACTAAAAAGGGTTTACTTGGGGGGATTGGGAAGGCATGCTCATAGAATTCAGATTCAATGGATTTATTAAATTGGTCAACCTAACTATAGCGAGTGGTCTATAAAGACTCCACCCCAATAAGCATCCGACAGTCCCAGTGTCAGACCCAAGGACATGAATATCATCGACGATAATATTAATTAAGCATTATCTGAAACAATCCATCAAGCCAAGCTCAGTCTAACTCGTCTCGTCCCGTACTCTGCTCAGCACAGAACAACGGTTCCTCCCCAATCCCTCCAACTCCTCATGATGCATAACCGGCAATAGACGGTTCCTGTCCCACTTTAGGTTCATACGTGAGAATCTCCACCAGCGCAATCAGCAAAATTCCCTCTGTGCCAAGCATATCGTCCAGCTGCAGCTGCGGAGCGAGGATTTGCCCGCATACTGTGTCGATGTCGATCCGTGAGGGGTCGCCGGGGCCGTCGTGGGTGAGGGCGTCGACGGCTAGGGCCCAGGCGAGGGGGTTATACAATACTCCTTCATGAAGGTAAACCCCGCCTGCTGGCTGGTTGGGGCAGATCGTTTGGATATGGTTGTTTGTTACCCCGATGTCGCGGATGTCGGAAAGGATGGCTGACGCGTTGGGTCCGCTCATCGGTTGTACGATTTCGTCGAAAGTAGAGTACACGGTGGTTGTTGGGACGTATGCCGAGTTGCCGCCATCGGATTGCAAGGTATGAATAAACTCAGTCTCCGGGCCTTGTTGCCAGATTGATGGTGTGCAGACAAGAGGGTCCAGTAACGGGCAGTCCAGCGATCTTAGATCTGTGCCGTGGAAGTCTGGGCTGATGGCGATGAAATCTTCCACCACATCCCGTGTAGAAGGCCAGTACTTTAATGCCCATTGAACATCCAGTCCACCCTGAGACCACGAAATGGCCGCCACGTTGGAATCGGAGCTGACGGCGGAGATGTAGTTGATCGCATACGCGACGTATTCGGCATTTGTTTGCGCGTCATTCAACGAAGCCCGGGGAATGTTGACCCAGACAATATCCGCTTTAGGGAGAGCTTTACCCAACTGACTGAAGCTGAAATGGTAGGTCATACCAGCAGGGACTGCAGTTCCTGGCACCAGGATTACTGGTTTTTTCCCGTTCTTTCCACAGGCGAACGAATCAGGGATATGTATGGCTGCCCGGAGCTTTTCCTCGGGGATTGAATATATCGCATCATCGGATCGCTTTTTCGGGTATAGATCTTGCTTCGAGGGTGGTGCAGGGTTATTGTTGGATATTGAGTTGAGGTCGATGTTGATGTACCCGTCTAGCAGGTTCACTAGATTCAATGGAATTAATCCTCCCTCTACCAGGCCTTTGACGAGATCCAGCAGGAGACTATCCGAGTCTTTGTCCACAGACGAGTAAACCTGACTGATTTTGTCATGCGCATCCTTTACGGATCCAACATCTGCTGCGCTGTTCGGAGTATCTGCCTGGTTGTCGAGCAATGACAATATCGAGGACGCAGTATCCGAAGTTTTTTGTCCTACTGACAGATCACCAACAGCTTGGGACAACACCGAGAGAAGTCCAGAGTCTGAATTAGTCGATGAATTCGTGCGAGGTACAGCCATGGCATATGCCATTGGACTAACGAGCGTCCAGGCAAGCGCTACCCCTGCGGCGAAATCGAACCTCATTTTGCGGCGGCGGACGCTGACACTGGCGAGTCGGCGCGGATTGCATGAGCAGTCGCAGACAGCCTCGCCCCTGCGCAGGCACGGGGCATTGCCTAATATAAAGCCATGTTGACTGCCACTGCTCCATTTTTTTGACCAACGAGTCAGGGCTTCAGAGTTTTTACTCGCTTATGACGTTTTGCTGATTCACTAGTAAATAGCTGGTACCAAAGTTCCTTGACTGCGCGATTGAAATACCCCTGTTGGGATATTATGGTCCCCACAGGTTCCGGTTTTGAGTTCCCCGCAATGGTGATCATTTTTTAAGCAGTCAACAGGGGCAAATGGACGCTAATGAGGGACATTGACGAACAGATGGCGAACAGTACATGCAGCATCCAAATGTTTAGTCTTGTGATGCTCGGTTTTGGAATTGCTTGATAGAGTCTACGCTATCATTGAATCAAGAGCCCTTGGTGGATACCACCGCACCCAAACAGAATTTATCATTCCTCTGGGACTACGGAGTAGGACTCTAGTTCAGGAAAAAACTAACTCGACGATCAATATGGGGACGAGCGGCTAATCACTTGACTCCGACTTATCCAGCGTGCTCGGATTATGCGCAACCCGGTGTCCGTGTTGGTCTGTATAAATAACCTTCAAGGACTCAGCAAGCTCTACGCGCAGAGTGCATAGTGAGAATAACATACTTTGGGAGGATTTGCTACGCCCTCTTCCCTTGCTCCGGCCTCATCCGTGACAATTTTCTCGACCTGAATGTCAAGGTTAGAAAAGAATTAGCAGATGATAAGGAAAAGGAGTAATCTACCTTTCCTTGGTGAGAACCTCCGCGGTATCTAGTGAAGACAAAATCATCTTCGTGAATAGTTTCTCCGTTCTTATCCCTGACGCCTTCGACGGACATTGTGTACTGTATTCTGCGAGGTATATAATTTAATTAGAGCCAAAGTTGTTTTTCCTGGCAATTCAATATTATCAGCCGAGAATTCGAGACTCTTTTATGTATCTAGTCCCAGATGATGCGATAGTGTCGTGGATATGATGTCATGATGGCTCACCAGGGATGCCCCTGGTAGAGTACCAGTACGGATCAAGCAGGACCAAGCGTGACTAGTCAAGATGAACACTCGAGGTCTTTGTGATAACAAGGCAACAGACCAGGATAACCGAGTAGATGGGCACTGTATATCTGAGGACTGGTATGATCGAGTCTACATAGGCCATCCCGGTGCATCACGCAGAGCTGTACAGGCGAAACCCGATGATTGTCAAAAGTATAAAGATGACCCAAGCAACATGAACGGAGCACCTGTACGATGGGCTTGCCATCAGGCTGGGTATCCGTAAGAGTGGTATAGCCAGAGCATGTCGTACAGATGTCCCAACATCCTGGGTTCAGGGTTATTCACTTCAGCAACTGAAGAACGGACGGCCATTGAGGACTATAGCCATCAGCAATAATGCACCGGAATCGTATGTCAGCCACGTGGATAGGGAAAGCCAAAGCTGGGAAAGACAAATTCGGTTCATCTTCGAGGATGCATTGTTCTCTAAGGCTGGGGTCCATGAATGATCCGGTGATATGGTCAACCAGAAGGGAGTGGAGATCTGGGGGAATATCCCCGAGATCCTATATCATATTTCTGCATTCAACCAATTGCTTGCCCGATTTGGAGACTCTCCAGCCTCCAAAAAGTACGGCCATCCAATGGCTGCATGCTAGGCTATCTCTCCCTGCCACCATTTTTGGAATGCAACTACAGAGAGGAGAAGAGAAAGTGTCAAATGACGGGATATGGGATGGCGATGAGTTGAAACAAACCATCAGCGTCATCCGTATGATATCGTAGGCTTATTCAAATCGTCAGTTGTCAGAGGATCCGCCCAGAGTGTAACAGTTCCGGCAATGACTACCACCGTTGCACCCAGCCAGTGTGACATACCACAGAATCTATCTCGACTCGATACGCTGGCACTTATATTTCTTGATAGTGGCTGTACAATTAAAGATGATTACAGAGGAAGCGAAAAGTAATCGATTCGAGGTTCACCAGCCATCATGGGACAATCCTAGCAAAGAACCCAATCAGATAAGAAATAGACGACAGTTGTATTGATGACTGCATTACGATACATGACGGTATCATATCTGATCTGAACTGCAACAGATGTAACTCTCCAGTGGTTTTATGCCCTCAATAGCTCCTCACTGTCACCCCTGGGGTGAATGTGTAATATATAAAGTATGGAATTATTCAAAATCTTGCTCAAATAAATCCAAAGATTATCTCAAAACAAGTGCTGTAGAAAAGTAAAATCGTAGCATAGTTTGCAGGTCGCACCACAAACCCCCAGATGATAATTACCGTATGTGACATTAGGAACCATACCGCTTTACTTTGGGAGAACACACAGTGTTCTTCTATCATTCAGTTTAGTTCGTATTTGAGTCTGAATTGAATTGTTTTTGATATAATAATCTAATTTTTTTTGCCCCTCCCTTTTTTTCTGGCCCTTCCTTGTGCGGTAACCCTTCTCCCTCTCGGATCCTCACCTCAACCTCTCCAAGGAATGGCCACGCGTTGAATCAAAGCCCTCTCTACATACTTCATTCTTCCTTTCCGTTATCGTCAACCCAATTCCTCCTTAGAAAGCGCGAAGAGAGTGCGAGCGGAATACAAAAAGTGAGCCAAACTGCCGTGACAATTGGAGTTGCCTCAACTTTATCAAACCCGCCTCTGCTGCTACTCTCCATCTCCATCTCCATATTATCGTGACATCTTCTCTCCAAGACGACGGAGAAAACGGTCTGAGGCACATTGACCTTTTATGGCTGGCGATACTACCTCGATCGGGATTTATACCTGATATTCCTTCCCTTCCGTCTTTTCTTCGTCTACTTGACTGGTTACTTCCTCCCCATCTTCTCTTTCCTTCCGTTTATTTACCACCTACTGCTCCCCGGCTTATCCCCGTGCTCTGGATCTCGTATTGACGCTTATCTCTTTATGGGAGAGTGTCAATTCTGATTTCAACTGTCTTATTTATTAAGCATCACCCCTCACTAGTTTTGTTTGTCTTCGCGGACGTCGTGAGTGCTTACTACCGATTGTTACTATGCCTGCTCCGCTAGTCAGGGTCTTGCACAAACTGCAGGAAATGTTCTCCAACGTTGTATCCGCGCTAGAGACCATGATTCTTTTCCCTTCACTCTTCCGGGAATTCTCCCAACGGCGCCAGAAAGGTTTCCTGGGTGTACGATGGCGACATCGGACATTGGACGACTTTGCGGAAGAGGTCGACCGCCTCTTTACTGCACCCCTGTCGATGCGGAATATGATCGTCATGTCGGAGAAGATACGCGCTCAGTTTAGGTCATGTCTGCAGTCCAGCCCTGTGTGCATGCTACCCTCCTACAACCATGCCTTACCGTCGGGCACAGAGGAGGGGACATACTTGGCGCTGGATGTTGGAGGGTCGACTTTTCGCGTGGCTTTGATTGAATTACATGGGAAAGGGAATATAAAGGTACTTCGGGAATCATCCGCATACATCGACAGCAATGTCAAGTTGTTGGAAGGCACATTGTTCTTCGATTGGATGGCAGAGAGAATTGAGTCGATGCTGCAGGAAGTTGGTTCAAGTTACGGTCGGGAAGAGTTGCCTTTATCCATGGGTCTGTCATGGTCTTTCCCTATCGAACAAACATCGATTAGCAGCGGACTGGTTATCCATATGGGTAAGGGTTTCTTGTGTTCCAATGGCACTGTAGGACAGGAACTAGGAGATTTGATCGTCCAGTCGTGCCGCGCGCGGAACCTTAATGTACAAGTGGATGCCATTGTCAACGACAGTTCTGCCACACTTCTGTCTCGTGCCTATGTCGATCCTCAAACGCGCATGTCGCTCATTCTGGGAACCGGGACCAACGTAGCGATTCACTTCCCGGTGCACGAGATCGGATTGTCGAAGTTTGGTACCAGGCCTCCGGGTTGGTTCAGCTATGCTAAACACGTCATTATCAACAGCGAAATGAGCATGTTTGGTGGTGGTGGTGTGTTGCCCATGACCCGGTGGGATGACATTCTTAATCGCACCCATCTGCGACCCGACTACCAGCCCCTGGAATACATGGTTACGGGACGCTACTTAGGTGAGGTTGTCCGGCTCATTATCGTCGAGGCCGTCGATACCGCCAATCTGTTTGGAGGAGAGCTGCCGCACTCCATGCGGGAGCCGTATTCACTCGACACCAGCATCGTCGCATTCCTCGAAGCCGACACATCGCCGTCGTTGACTTCTTCGGCAGCTTTGTTTCAAAAGCAACACACTTTCCCTGTGACCCCTTCATCGGAAGACCTGTACTTCCTACGCCGCATATGCCAGACCGTTTCGCGACGAGCTGCCGGTTATCTGGCTACTGCAATTCACAGCATGTGGTGCTTGCGCAATGACGTTGAGTTCTCTCCTTCTACCATGGCTATCAAGGAGGCTTCGGAAGTCACCGTGGTGGAGAGTGAGCCAGAATCTCGGAGTCTGTCGATTGCATGCGATGGCAGTGTGATCAACAAGTACCCTGGATTCCGAGACAGCTGCCAAACCTATATCAATCAGCTGGCTGAACAGACCAACGGCACTACAGAATCTCTTATCAGCCTTGACCTTGCACCGGAGAGCGCAATTGTCGGGGCTGCGGTTGCTGTTGCCGTGGCTGTTGCCGATAAGGAATCGAAGTCTGTATGATGTGCACTTTTTTCATTCACGCATAGCCTCGTTTTGCGTTCTTCTTTTGCTCGGGCATGGAGTTCTGCATTTTGCATTCCACGGTGTTTTGCGTGTTGTCCATCCTATTGGTATATCGTCTTTACGTTTGTATAGACAAAGGGGAGGGGGGTTATTGTTATCATCATTGCATATATGGTTGGCATTATTATTTTTGTTGGCCAGTCGGATGGCCGGGGTATTAAGCATCGGTGTATATAATATGATCCAGTGACATCGCCTGTCCTCTTTAAGGATTGTTCTACTAGACTGATAAGTACTAGCCATCAACTATTCATGGGTACCATTATTCCTTGCAAAGATCCTGTAGCAATTCCAGCATCCTTAGTTGGAGAGCCGAGAGCTCTTCTCGAGGCAGCTTATCTTTGTGTTGTTTATCATGATCATCATTATTCTTATGGTCACCAGTGACCAGATCCCGCTTTATGCTGAAGAAGGGAATCCCCAGTCCTCGTAGCTCGAGTGTGAGGGCTTGTGCCATCTGGTTGGATGCGGCATAGATCTTTGCGTCGTAGGTGTTCAGTTCTGTCTGGTCTTCTTCGGCTGTCTGTGCCTGGTTAGTTGGCAATGCTGGCGAGAGGTGTAGGCAAACGTACAGATACCCCCTTTGAAAAATCAACCGGCGCCCCAACAGATCGTCTGCAAAGGTCAATTCAACCATATAGTCAAGCCAAAACAATTCCCCCAGCAAAAGCTTTCAGGTTGCATCCACCAACCAACCCAATAACCGGGGAAACCAGGGCAAAAACTCACAACACCTCATCCAACTCCTTCTTCTTCTCCCCCCTTGCCTTCTGTTTCTTGCACAATGCTTCGCGTCCCTGCCACCATTGTTTCTCGTGATCGTGCTGGGATTGCATTAGGCGGCGGATGCGGCGCTGGAGGAATTCATTTTGGGAGACTGTTCGCATGACGTGGCGGAGGGCGGAGGACCAGGTTGTTATGGTTGAGGGGTCTGTTGTTGTTTCTGTTGTTAGTGCTGGTTTGGGAGGGTGTGGTTGTGGTTGTGGTTGCGGTTTGGGCGTCGAGGATACTGGAGCTGGAATGTCTGGGGGTTCGTATGCGTCGTCTTCGACATTTTGGATATGGGGGAGGGAGCCATAAGGCTGCTGAATAGAGGTATTCTGAACTCCTGGTGGTGCCGGTTTGGACAGGGCTGATAATGTGTTTAGAATCGAGTTCAAGTCGGAGGAGTTGTAATCTGCCATAGCGCCGCCTCAATAATTCTTTCGTAAGTATTCCACAGAAATCGAGTATCAAACAAAATGCCAAAAAGCATGTCTTGTCAAAAGGTCATCTTATAGATAGCTGTAGAAGAGCAATCGGAGCTAACGAGCCATCTCCGTTGCCAAGACTTCCCTCTGAACTTGAAAATTTCCCCGGCGGCATCAACTATCCTCGCCAAACATCTTGACTCGCGCTGTCCCACGGATCCCACTAGTACCAGCCTGTCTCTGGCCTGTGATTCCTTTTGCCATTGAGATATAAGGGATTATCCGGTTTATATTGTCATTGTACCCCGCGTCACGGTGGTGTTTTATCGACCGAACCATACCAGTGTGGGAGCACCGGAGTCGCCAAGCACAACACAAGACCAACCACCACATCGAGAAAAAAGAACGAGAACGATAGATATTATCATGTCCCGATCCGCCGCAGACGCCACCCGCTTCACGGCCACAGGCCCCTACGCCAGTTCCAAGCCCGGAGCCCCGGCCTATAAACTCCCCGGCTTCATGTCGAACTCCGGAAACAACAGCAATGCCAACCCATCACCGGGGTCAGGAGGGCAGCCGGAGACGCCGAAGCAGAAGGTCGAGCGGTTGCGGGCGCAGGCAAAGGCAGCGAGAATGGCGCAGTCGTCGTCGGGGTTTGATCGGTTTCTCGGGGCGGGGCGGGATCTTGCGAATAAGGCTCATAAGGTGACGGTTTATTCTTTGATTGCTGCGTCGGGTATGTCCTTTTCCCCCTAGGGATTCAATGAGGGCAATTGCTGATTGAAGTAAAGGCGTCTGTGGTGTCCTCACGGTCTACTCCATCATCTCCCTAACACTCTACAACCGCCGCCAAAAAGCCCTCTGGGTCGAAAACGAGCTCAAGAGACTCGAAGACGCGAAACGAGCACATGCCAGCGGCATCGCAACCCCCGAGCAAGCCGAGATCGTGAAGAACGAGATGATTGGGGAGATTTACAAGCGCAAGAAGGACGAGGAGAAGGAGCAGCGGCCCTGGAACCAGGTGAAACGGTATCTATTCGGCGGGTTGAAGGCGGATGAAGCTGCGGCCGCGCCTGAGTCTGCGGTTGCTGTCGACGGTCAGAATAAGCCGGGTGTGCTGGATGCGCTTAATGCGAAGGCTGCGGTGGACGCCAAGTCGAAGGGCGAGCAAGTGCCGGGGCAGCTGGATGTTCTTGCGGAGAACGCAGAGTCTACTGCTAAGCAGGCATCACGAAGCTGGACGAGCTGGCTTACCGGACGGTGAAGCTAGCGACTGAAGATGGGGTCTATCCCTCACCATCTCGCCCTGGCACTATTCCTCATCATCATCATCATCCTCTTGCATGATTAACATCCTCATCTCTTCCTCTACACCATTCTCGTTTCAAGTCCATCTGGGGTTGCGGCGTCTGTTTTACTATTTTCTCTCTATTACTACGATCTCTATCGCATCCATCTGTATACTGTGCATGTACATATAACGTTTTCTATTGTCTTGGCTATGAGGTGTCTGTTTGAAAAAAAGAACGTAGTGTCTGATATGAATCACCTGATATTAAGCGAAGCAATTGACTTTCAATGTTTGCCCAATAATAGCGTAGGAATTACTCCAGAGTACAACCAAGTGACTAAACAGCGGGTCCTCGTATGCAAATCACCATTATCCCAAAAGAGTTCCTAGATACATTAACCGAAAAATAAGAAAAAGGCACAATTTCCCATTCGTTCCAAATAAATCAATAAATCATAAACCCGAAATGCTGTATATAAACGAGGATCCAACAGAATCATGGCATGTCGTCTAATGGCATGGTATCTAGATCGAAACTATTTTCTTTTCCAATCTTATCCACCCCCTCAAAAAAAAAACAAAAAAAAAAAAAAATCGCCGAAACCCCTTTTGTCTTGCTTTTTATTCCCTAGAATAAGAGAAAAGACTTTTAATAGGGAGAAAGACTTAGTGAGCACCGTTGGCCTTGGAGGCCTTGACAGCCCGGCGAGCCCGGACTGCTTCAGCCAGGTTTTCAAGGGTATCAACGGTGTCCTCCCAGCTGATACAGGCGTCGGTGATACTGACACCCTGTTTGAGACCGGAAGGACCCTCCGCGGGCATCTTCTGGTTACCCTCGTTGATGTTGGACTCGATCATGACACCGACAATGGCGTCCTCACCCTCACGCATCTGCTCGGCCAACTCCTGAGCGACAAGAGGCTGGTTGCGATGGTTCTTGTTGGAGTTTCCATGCGAGCAGTCAACCATGACCACCTCACGCTGGTTCTTCCCGCGCAGAGCCTCGCGGGCAGCCTTGATATTGGCGCGGTCGTAGTTGGTACCCTTGCTGCCACCACGGAGGATGACAAATCCGTGCTCATTACCGGAGGTCTTGGTAATGGCGGCCAGACCCTGCTTGGTGACACCCAGGAAACGATGAGGGTGGGCAGCAGCGCCAATGGCGTCAATGGCAACTGTCAGGTTACCGTCCGTGCCGTTCTTGTAACCAATGGGGAAACTCAGGCCAGAAGCGAGCTCACGGTGCAATTGCGACTCGGTGGTACGGGCACCAATGGCACCAAGGGAGATAAGATCGGCCAGGTACTGGGGCGAAATAGTGTCGAGCATCTCACTAGCAATGGGCATGCCGGTGCTGGTGAGGTCTGCGTAGAGCTTACGGGAAACGCGCAAGCCCTTGTTGATGTTGTAGGACTCGTCAAGGTCGGGGTCGTTAATCAAACCCTTCCATCCGACCGTTGTGCGGGGCTTTTCGAGGTAGGCACGCATGATGATGCAGAGGTCACCCGAGAGCTTCTCAGAGAGTTGCTTCAAACGACGGGCATATTCAATGGCAGTGGCAGGATCGTGGATGGAGCAGGGGCCGACAACAACGAGGAGACGGTCATCACGTTGCTCAATTATTTCGACGGCCTGGTTGCGACCCGAGCGGACAGCAGCAATGGCTTCACTGGACTATTCATTGTTGTCAGTTACGTCCTTGGTGTCTTTTTCTTCTACCGTGTCCTCGCTTCGTTTCCCCTGTGCATTTTTTTCGTTTCGGGCAGAAGGGCCCTGGCAATGGGGAATGACTCACTCCCGGGATCTCGGACTGAAGGAACTGGGGGGAGAGCAAAGGGTCGTAACCCAGGACTAAAGAGGCATTGTTAGTGAGAAGGGTTTTAGAGAAAGCAGCATTGGGTACATACCACGAGTGTCCTCGTTGACTTCTGTTGTGCTGACGAGAGGCATTGTGTAGGACCAAAGTGGGATGATCTAGAAGTTTTTTTTTTTTTTTTGCGCGGATGAGAGCACGAATCGCTGACAGAGGAGAGGATGGGAAGATTGGGAAGAGGAAGAAAAAGAATAAGTAGAATGTATCCTTTTATATAAGAGAGGAAGAGAGGGAAAAACAGTCACACGGTAATGCAAACAAAAACGAAGTGAGTGAGCTGAAAAAGATACACTCAGGCCGATCTAGAAATGCGTGTTAGTCATCAGCAAAGTTCCTCGATTGCCTGCTCACTGATTGGCCGCGCTTATTTTAAGGCCGAGGATAAAGATAGACCGAGTATTCCGTACTCCGTATACTATCCATGGAGCATGATTTATTTACAGATCAGTTCGTGGTAATGGGCAAATTCAGTATCTGTTTGTATTGTGTTGCTCCTGCCATGCATTAGACTTGGCACTTTGACAAAGCCAGCGACAAAACCCCAATGGCACACGTGAAAGTCAGACGTCCCTTTAGCAGCTGAGTAACTGTTTGTTTCCTGGAGAACAGGCGATACGGCTGTTCCATATTCCCAGCTAGGCGTGCTGTTCCTATTGTTGGTGGGTTTCAAACTGCACGAGCTTCTGGTCTTGGTGCATTTGTGGTCGTCATGCGTATTGTCCCTTGCTATGATGACACCGGTCTCCAGCCGTATTTGTCTGACATGTCGCGATACACCAGATCCACGGATATGGCCTTCCGGCACGCATCTCATCCTTTGACTGCTTCTGCTTCTTCCAAAAACCACGGGAACTTCATTTAGACTTTCTCTTCAAACATGGATTTGCCAGGTATTGGGAAGCGACATAGCTAAGCTTCCCTTCAGCCCAACAGAAGATAATATCGAAGGCGCTCTGGTAGAGCAAAAAGCCAATAATCTCTCGTTTTTAATATCAATCTGCTAGTTTGCAGATGTCCCAGATGGATTTGCGCACTTTCTTGCCCACTCCATTACAGATATCCTGAAACTACCAAGCTAACATTGTCGAATCCCATGTACCCAAGCGCCGGGGTTACTGATACCAGTAAGAAGAGCTCTGAGTGCATGTACTCTGTAGAGTACTTGTAGTTGTCCATTCCCCGCCATGCTTGCTTCACGCAAGACATCTAATCCGTACAGTACCAACAATACTAGCCAGTAGTATATGCATGATCGGCTACTGGGCTGTCAATCCTTGAACCCTTGGGAAGTACAGGGATGAGAATGATGTTGGAGAATGATGTTGATTGCCTGATATCAAAGTGGTGGTTCCGCCCTGTCAGACCGCTGACTTGCAATGGCCGTTGAAATTTTGATATAATGACACTGGGGGTATTCAGTGAGTAAATTTCGCACTGATTTACAGTTGAGAGATTTGAATTCGGATGTTACTTGTTTCTCAGTGTGCAATAGTTTTGTTCGTGTTGATGTCTCCGTTCCCCAATAGGAATAGCGCGATTGCTTTGAATAGCCTCATCATATGTCATGTGATTACAGTCTGGGCTGTTTCCTCGTCGACAACCACTCCTGCTTTTCTTTCAACGTCAGCTTTTTTTATCCCTCTACATTGGACACTGTCTTTGGAATAATTTTCTATTACTGCTCGATTATTCTTGTCATCTTACAGTATCTTAATGCAGCAGATGGTTTCGGAGCTATATCCCTACGCCGACATCCTGGTTACATAGCTCAACGGCTACAGATGATGCACTTTGCCCGTGCATGATCGATGATTTCAATTTCCGATCTGCGTGCTTCACGTCTTGATAACCCTTGATATTTCGATCCTACTCACGGGTTATATACTAGTACACGCACCGACACAAAGAGCACTGTCGGGAACCGGCATACCGGCATGTTTACCTTTTCGACTAAGCGTCAGTGGACGCCCGATGGGTCGATCGATTCCGAAGACATCGCGAACCGTGAGAAAAAGGTACGCAGCTCTGTGGATCCAAACCATTGATTCGCTCTGGCGGTCAGCCTTTATGATTCTAATTTCTTTGTCAGTTTGCTAACACTCGGATTTTAGAGACTCCGTCCGCTAACTTTACGCACTCCACCGGATACCTGTCAAACAACTTTCTGTGAAGCCAATCAGCTGTTCCCTCAGCTTCATCTCTCTACATTGACACCAATTGAGCCTTCGGACGACGACAGCGATGATCAGCACCGTTCTGACAATGCGGCCCTTCCTACCACAGCTTTACATCGCCCACTTCCTGGTTCCTCGTCAGATTCGTCGATGGACGTCGACAGTCCCCCATTGTCGATGAGTGGTGAAGGCCTGTCACCATCGTCAACGAGCACGCAACATATCCATGGCAGCGTTCAGCCGTCGCCCATTCCTCACAGCCTCATCAACCAGTCATTGAACATTGATGGAGGGCATCCAGTCACTAACAACCAAACACCTTTCGCCAACCCAGATTCCAATGTCGCCATGGATCAAGATTTTATATCTGGGGCGGAAGTTTCTGGCTTGCATCCGGATGCTGCAAGAAATCATGAAACGGTCTGGTGGACCCTTCCAGGTATTCCCAGCCCCATTAGTGAGGATGAGGGTGTTTGTGTGACTGGGACCGGAACACCGACGAGCGAGGCCGAAACACTATATGCTACATCTCACTCCGCGTCATCTCATTCATATGGTGTCCATCATGACCAAGCACTATGGAACATCGATATGCAAGCACCGTCTACCAGCAACAAAGAACCTGAACCATCTATCCCCGCCGCAAATATGGCATCGAACAAGAAGAAACTCAATGTTTTCATGGGCTATCGCGCTGACTGTGATAAATGTCGACAAAAGGTGCCTGGTCATTACAGCCACATTATACACACTTGAGCGCTCTTCTTTCATCCTCTTAAAAATCGCCTATTACATTGTTTCTCTATGGTAGATCATGGTGGGTTTCCAGCGTGTGATGCCATGTATATTTTTATGCATTCGTTCGTGTTCAAGCTTAGCGAGCGTAAGGTTTGTGTTTGCAATTTTTTTTATTATAATACGGCAGGAACCGTCATATGGGTTTGGTCCACGGAGTCCCAAGGGTTATGTTTATACCATTCGCAGGGAGTTTGGGATTTGTTCAGAAAAAGATTCAACTGGCAGTGTTGGTTGGATATTGTATTCAATAACCTCTCGCTCATTATGTATTCTACAACATACCGGACTTAAATGTCTGCGGTACAGATGACATAGGCTTAATGCGCTAACTAGTTATCTAGTTATCAATGTAAACCGTTCTCCTACTGTGCTCGAATATGAAAGACTCAACTCTGTCTACAATTTAACGTCCTTCAATGCTTTGTAGCTTTCCAAAATGACCCGCTTCCCGGGTAAATACATTAGCCACTCCTCATTGCCGGCCGTTCGACGGACCGCGGGCGGAATTTGGCCGGTTGATTGTATATGAAGATCGGTTTGTGCCCGCCTGCTGGGTTCAATTTGAACGACACTGATGTTCTTAGAACCTCCTCATTTATAACTTCACCGTGCTTGGGTTGTTCATTTGCTCTGGCTACAGCTTGCGAAATACAAAATGGCCTCTCCTATTCCCCGGGGCCTCCGCCAGGTCCTCCAGAAAAACCCCAACGATATCGTTATTCTCTCCTCCCTCCGTACCCCAGTAACTCGCGCGAAGAAGGGCGGCTTCAAGGACTCCTATCCGGAAGAACTACTTGCCAATGTGCTCCGCGCGACTCTGGAGGCAAACCCAAAGCTCGACCCGGCTCTGATCGAGGATGTTGCGATTGGATCTGTCTTGCAAGAGCTCGGTGGTGCTAAAGCCGGCCGTATGGCGCAAATCCACGCTGGATTCCCCAGCACAGTCCCCTTCCACACGATCAACAGACAATGCTCGTCGGGATTGGCAGCTATCACGACAGTCGCGAACGGGATCCGCGCCGGCGCGATCAACGTTGGTATCGGTGGAGGAATGGAGTCAATGACCCGGAACTATGGATCTCGGGCTATTCCCACGGTGCTGTGGCCAGAGTTGAAGGAGTCGCACTCCAAGGACTCCCGCGACTGTATTATGCCCATGGGTATCACTTCGGAGAATGTCGCTGCGCGGTACGGCGTCAACCGTGCGGATCAGGACACTTTCGCGGCTGAATCGCACAAGAAGGCCACTGCTGCGCAGAACTCCGGTCTCTTCGACTCTGAGATTGTCCCCGTCAAAACTTTGTCGTTTGACCCAGAGAACCCAGAGACACCACCCAGGGAGATTGAAGTCACCAAGGACGACGGTATCCGGCCCAACATCTCCGTCGAGAAGATGGCCAGCCTCAAGCCTGCGTTCTCAGCGACTGGCACCAGCACCGCCGGTAACAGCTCCCAGGTCAGCGACGGTGCTGCCGCAGCTTTGCTGATGCGCCGGTCTACCGCTACTGAACTCGGCCTGTCATCATCGATTAAGGCGCGCTGGGTGGGTAGCTCCGTCGCCGGCTGTGCTCCCGATGAGATGGGCGTTGGCCCCGCAGTCGCAATCCCTAAGCTCCTCGAGACGCTCGGCATGGGCGTGTCTGATGTCGGCATCTGGGAGATCAACGAGGCGTTCGCCTCGCAGGCTCTGTACTGCACGCGCAAGCTCGGAATCGACGAGGCCAGGGTTAACCCTAAGGGCGGTGCTATTGCCATTGGTCACCCGCTTGGTGCTACTGGTGCTAGACAACTTGCTACTCTGTTGCCAGAAATGGAGCGCTCCGGGCTAGAGGTTGGTGTTGTGAGTATGTGCATTGGTACTGGTATGGGCATGGCCGGTATGTTTGTTCGGGAGTAGTTCCTTGTATAGTTTAACATTAGGTTCTTTGCATGTATGATATAACAGTGCATATGTATGTATATACGAGGTTATACGATTTTCAATCTCAAAGCAATGTTCATTTAACTGTACTCGGAGTATATGGATTAAATGCCTTCCCATATTACAAGGATAGCGTGCACTTTTCCACATAACCTGTAGCCAATTGACAAGATATCAAAGAAATATTCTCAAAAATAACATTCAGGATAAAAATGATATCCGCATACAAGTACATAGTTCAAATGCTAAAGATCACGTGAGCCCCCCCTTCGACCGCCCGGCCTTTTCAACTTTTCCACCTCCGCGGCCAATTTTCTAGGTGATTGTCAATTAAACGACCCCCAACCACAAACATGCGACCCTCGGCACGTCTACTGGGCCTGGAGGTCCCCAGCTCGCGAACCCTCTATGTCTGCTCGAGCTGCCGACAAGAAGCCCGTCCGCGGCCGATCCTAGCTCGCCAATTCCTGCGCAACGCCTCGACTTCTTCCGGCTCGACTCCGCTCACTGAGAAAGTGCGCCGCAAGCTCTGGGGTACGGAAAACCCGCCTGGTATGAAGGATCCGTATGGTGGACCTGGTGCATTGGAGAAGAAGTTGAGGGGGAATCAGAATGTTCAAGAGGAGGGTGCTGGTGAGATTGTGGAAGCGGCGGAGCCTGCTGAGGTTGCGGAGGCGGTTGGGAGGGAGGATGCTGATTATGTGCCTGCGACGTCGTGGGAGGGAATTGAGAAGATTGGGCATCTTGGGGGGTGGGAGAATTATCCTGCTACTCAGTCTGATGAGTATAGCCCGTGAGTTTGTCCGTATACATTTGGTTTCGGACGGGTGCTAAAGCGATATAGATTCATGCTCAAGCAAAAACTCACCAAGCGCGAACACATCTACCTGGCCGCTCACCAAACCGCCGTAGAACTTTGCCTACTGCACGCCCTGAAGAAGCCATTGGCGAGCATCTACAATGTTGTCGAGCACGACAAGTCCGTTTTCAAGATGATCTGGAAATGCAAGATTCAGCCGGGTGCCAATGGCCAATGGGAGGGTGTCGTCTACCCCAACAAGCAAACTGAGGCTGCTCTGGTTTACATTTTCGAGCAGATTGGTGGTCAGCCTGAGGGTGCTGTTGCGGAGGCCGCGGGCGAGACTGAGCAGGCTGAGGCTGAAGCTGAGGCTTCGGCGGAGGAGTTGGACGAGGGTGCTTATGTGTCTGAGACTTCCGGGCTTCCGTTCTTCGGGTACCAGGATGTTCGTGACAAGGGGTTCCTTTCTTTGGCTTTAAATGATCCCGCTGTCAAGTTTGCCGTATGTCCCTCCCCTGCTCGAACCCCACGATGCAGTACTGACCAGAAGTAGTTCCTGAAGAGATTCTCCCAGCTCAGTGGTCATTTCCCCGACCCTATCATCCACCCGACCTCCAACGTCAAGGAAGTTGTAGACCTCATCCTGAAGTCCTTCAATCCCAAGCCTACCAAATTGGCCGACCAGCTTTTCAACAAGGCCAGCCTTCAGAGCCGGTCGAATGTCAAGATCTTCGCCAAGAAGCAGAGGTCATCAGACCGGGATGAGGAAATGGGGAGGAAGAAGGTTATCGAGGCTGAGCTTCGTGCCCGGGGTCTTATTGCTTAATTGACAGGCAGAGGATGAGATATGTTTGATATTGGTTTATGTCGTATATGTAGTATCTTTTCTCTTCTAGCATGTCTTAACAAGAAAAAATGCTTGTACAATAGATGATTTTGTGTTAGACCATCCTCTATTCAAGATTATAGTATATACTACGGTCCAGTAGCCGACTCCTGCGCCAAACGCCTCATCCAGAATATAAAAGAAAATCACCTCTTCGCTCCAGCAGGGATCGAGAACCCTCTCGTCATGAAATCATTACCACTCTTCTTACCATCCTTGGACTCCTTGGTAAATAGACTGTTAATATTCTCATTGCCTCCCATCAACTTCTTCCTCTTCTTGCGCTCACTTTCCTCTTCCAAGACCTTCGCGGTCAGCGATGCCGTCGCTGCATTCTTAATACCAGTGTTTGTCGTTGGAGTAGATGTGCCACTGCGGCTGTTGGTTGTCTTCCCAGCTCCGGTGGCTTCGGGCTCGTTTGTAGAGTCGCCGTTAACGTTCTTCTTGCGCTTCTTCGAGCCGGGGGCTTTCTTGAGGGAATGCGTAAGGCCTTGCTCGGCGAGTTTCTGACCGCGGGCGATGAGGCGTTGTTTATCGGTTTCTTGGGGTGGGAGGATGTTGATTATATTGTCTTCGGTGTAGGATTCGTTGCACTGCGCCAGTTAGCCATATCGCTCCCCGTGGGATAAAATCGGAACGGGCGTAAACTCACCTGCAAGCATTTATCCCCCTTAAGCTGCCTAACCGCCTCCTCAGAAAACACATGTCCACAAGGCACCAGATAAACCGACTTGACGCCAGGCCCCAACACCTTCGCCGTAATCGGACAAATCCACCCCTCCCTCTTCTCCCCCTTCCCAGTTCCAGTCTCCCGTCGATGTTCCTCCCCACGCTCCGTATCAACCTCAAACCTTAACTCCACCACATCCCGTAGACTCTTAACACGCCCGCACAGAAGCTCCTCGCAGTCCGCCTTGGAGCTGATTCCTTCTGCCTCCTCGCCGGGGAGCAGGAACTTGAGGACGGCGTCTTTGTTGTAGAGGTTTCCCGTGCAGTCGGAGACGATGGGGCGAGCTAGAGGGGCATGTGAGAGGGGACAGGTTGTCCAGAAGTGGGATTGTACTTCGCGCTGGGCTTCTTTGACTTGCGCAGTGCTGGGGGATTTGGCGGCTTCGCGGACGAGTTCGCGGCGGGTAGGGATGCTGGTTTTGTTAGTATGGTTTTGCAAATGAGATTCTTTGTATAAGCTTACCTTCCTCCGTCGTTACCCATTTTGACTATAGCTATGAACGAGAATGTAGTGTCAATGTTGTAATGTACAATCACCGCGCGCCACAAATTGATAACTAGCGGATGACTAAGACCCCGGATTAGATGCGATGTTATCACCAGCTGGCCAGAAGCTCTCCGCATTAATTGTTAGCAAAGGTACAGAGTACAACGGGGAATTGAATGAGAAGAATCGGTGTCCACTCAATGTCATCATGATCTTCTCTCAGAGCTCGCTTTTCCTCGCTGTGAGCTTAGCAGCGTCGACAGTAGTCGCTACGAAGGATGGCTCGTCTCGACCGCGAGGTGTTGCTCCGGAATGTATGTTCACCCATTGGGACTATACCATTTGATGACCTGAAGTTAATAATATGCTGCAGTCGCCAAATTCTACAAAGACCCGGATATTTTCGCCTGTATCTCCCACCCAGCACTCCAAGTCTCCTCCTCCGCCATAAACGACGACTACTGCGACTGTCCCGACGGCAGCGATGAACCCGGCACATCAGCCTGCTCGCACATCTCCCACCACTCCCCATTATCCGTTGCCGATCGCCCGGGGGCCAATGATCTCGATCTCACCTCTGCCCTGCCGGGATTCTACTGCAAGAACAAAGGCCACCGGCCCTCGTATGTCCCGTTCCAACGGGTCAACGATGGTATCTGTGACTACGACTTCTGCTGCGACGGCAGTGATGAGTGGGCCCATGTAGGTGGTACCAAGTGCGAGGACCGATGCAAGGAACTCGGCAAAGAATGGCGGAAGAAGGAGGACAAGCGGCAGAAGTCGATGACCGCTGCGTTGAGGAAAAAGAAAGATTTACTGGTTGATGCTGGGCGTCAGGAGAAGGAGATTGAAGATGATGTGCAGCGTTTGGAGACGGAAATTGAGGCGCATGAGATTAAGGTCAAGAATCTTGAGACGGATCTGGAGGAGGTGCAGAAGCAGGAGCAGAGCAAGCTTGTTAGGGGGAGAAAGAAGGGGAAGGTTAATGTGCTGGCTGAGGTGGCTAAGGACCGGGTTGAAGAGCTTCGGGAGAACTTAATTGAAGTTCGTAAGGAGCGGGACGAGACTCGCTTGCAGGTTAAGGAACTCGAGGCCATTTTATCCAAGTTCAAGGAGGAGTATAATCCCAACTCCAACGATGAGGGCGTCAAACGTGCGGTTAGCAGCTGGGAGGAGTATGCTGCCAAGGGTCACAGCGATGGAAACCACGCCCGGGATCGGGACTTGGATGAGATCTCCAAGCCTGACGACGAGAAATCGGGAGTCAACTGGGAGCACTGGGAGAATGAGGAGGACAGCTGTGAAATGGATGCTGGTGAGTTTTCTACATCTCGGTTCTATCTATGTGGTACTAACCATTACAGTCTATCATCTTGCAGCCTACCTTCCTCCATCGCTGGTTAGCTTCCTTGAAGACCAGTTCATTGTCTTCCGTGGCTTCTTGGAAAAGAACGGCTTCCTATCCAAGAAGTCCGTGGAGTCCGGCTCCGAATCTCAGGCCGTGCAGGATGCGCGCGAGGCTCTTAAGGCAGAAGAAAAGAGCCTTGGAGAGACCCGGAAACAATTGCGAAACAGGCGAGAAGACCTGGAAATCAACTACGGCCCAGCATCCGTTTTCCGGGCGCTCAAGGGTGTGTGCATCGTTCGCGACGCTGGCGAGTACACCTACGAGCAGTGCTTCCTGGACCAGACTAAGCAGAACTCGAAGAAGGGCGGTGGATCGATGCGGATGGGCAACTTCCAGCGCATTGGCAGCACCACCATCGAAGAAGTCAACGAGACGGGCGACATTGTGACTGTGGAGCGAACTACCCTGGAATATGTACGGGGCCAGACGTGCTGGAACGGACCGGCGCGGTCGACCAAGGTGGTCTTGGAGTGTGGAGAGAACAATGAGATTCTGAAGGTGAGCGAAGATGAGAGGTGCGTGTACTCGATGATTGTCACTACGCCGGCCGTCTGCGCCGGAGGAGAGGAAGAGGACGCGGCCCCAAGGGTCAAGGACGAACTGTAGCAACAACACCAACTCAAGTTAGCGTTTACTACTATTTAGCAATTTTCTTCGTGAAATTAGCATAACACGAGCTACGACTACAATTGGACAATAAGGTCCCAAGATGGATATGTGTATTCAAATATAAACATGCATTGCAATCCTAATCACCATAGTCATAGTCCACCGCCGGAAATTGCACTCGGAGACGATGGAACGGGTCGGAATCGGAACGGTCCGCTTTGGTGCTATTCACAAGGGAGTGGATATTGGGCACATTTAGTGCTGTTTACATTATTATTTGACTCTCTTTGAAGAGAAGAAGACATACCTTGCACGAGCTGCAAGAGCAAGAGTTGCAGTTGCCGGAGCAGCAGTTGCATGCGCAGGGAGACATTGTGAAAGTTGGTAGTGGTTTGACTGAAAAGTCTTTAAAAAGTATTTGAAAGGCTTGTAGTAGATTGAGAGGATTCGAGCTGATGAAGAGAAGAGAGGACGGAGAGAGGAAATCGACGACGTTTATATACCTTTTCTCCCGGTCTACATCGGGGGCTATGTACTGGCTATCTGATGACGCCCCCATCCACAGCTGAAATGACGCTTTGTTCCCTGCTTGTCCAGCCAATGTAAATCCCCGATATGGATGTTTTCTTTTCTATACAAGACAAGGCAACCGCCGAAGCCAAAGTTTCTTGTTTCGGGCGGTGCTCATTGCCCGCTTCACTTTGCCGGAATGGCTTCACTGGCTTCTGTCCGATGCGGGTGGTGCCATGGATGGACTTATTCGTTCAGAGGGGTATTTTTTTTTTTTTTTTCTTTTTAATCATGCCACTCCCTTCTCTTATTCTTGCTATTATCGTTGTTACTGTAGTCGTGCTACATCTGACCTGGAAATGATTTCATGCATATGCATGTCACTAGCCCCCGATACTATCGCTGATACGGACACTCCGTCTATACTACTGTATTTACGTGACTATGCCGCAGGTCCACTTCGGAAACGATGCCCTATATTATACGGAATATACATAGAGACCAGATTGTCACTACACACAAGGTCTCTTTACAAACAGCGAGTACGGAGCACAGTGCTCAGTCCAATCTGAGTCGGACGGAGCAAAGCGCTCGCACAGACCTGAATCCGGCCATGATTATGACCTGCAAAGAAAGTATCTATCACGATACGATTTGTATTAGTCTTGTTGGGGCCACCGACTACGGAGACGAAATCAGCCTGGATTCTAATGAAAGGAGAATGATTGGCACGGCGCAAAAAAGGCGCAAATGTTACTATTATGGGTTATAGATGGATACCCGCGCAAGCCGAGGAAATGAGGAAAAGTTTTCTTGTCGATCGGAGTCAGAGAGAGGGCGAAAGGGAAGAGGAAAAGTTTACTTGGAGGCAGGCTGGTTACGGTCTTTTCCGATTTACGCAATGGGGAAATAGCAGTTTGTAAGTGGGATGCAATAGTGTTCAGAGCCGTATGCCGTATACGTGGTTGAATCTTAGGAAGATAGAGTATATGCAATACTCATAGAGCAAAGAAAACAACAAAACAACTGTCAAATGCAAAGATCTCCCAGATTCTCCCAAGGTATTAGGAACCGAACAACATGTCCAACCAGGTGACCATATCACGGACTACCTTGGGGACACATGAGTTTATACAGAGTTCACACATGGATAGTTTACGTGCAAGATGTGCAGTGGATTTCTAGTCTATGCGTATCACTTGCATACAACCAAGTCATTCGTTCAACCTTCTCCACGCAACACCACTTCACAAGTCATTCCCAACTAACACGATAACCGAGGGGTTTTTGCTTATTTCTACAACTCAAGTCAGCCGAGTTCATTCTCATACGTAGAGTCCCGTGGGATGCTACTCACGGGGCACTGGCAAGCGCCGGCAGGGCACTGGCACGAAGCACCGCAGCTGCAAGTGTGGTCGGAACCTGGAATACTTCATCAGCACAGGCACAGATACAGATACAGATGCAGATTACACGAGGCAAGTGGCTGGAAGGGGTATATCTGATATCCTGGACGATAGCGAGAATGCTATTCGGCATCGACAAGGGTGATGCTGATGATGCTGACCCCGCGCGTCCATACATTACCCCGCCATCGCCTCGACGGAATCCAAGGCAAACAGACAGAGAACAAGGAGTCCTACTTACCCATGATGATTGATAGATAAAGTTATCTGAGAAAAATCAATGAGAAATCAGATGGACAGATAGAAGTTGATGAGGAGGATAAAGAAGAATCTGAACGGTGCGGGACAGATGCGGCATTTATATCCGTCGCAGGTAAATGACTTTGGCCTCAGGCAGAACTCGTTACATTTCGATGCAGAGCACTGAACACAGAGTAGTATTGTTCTTGATACTCTTTGAACTAATCATCTTTGTTTCTGGCTTGTTGGTCCTACACTGACTTCATTGTGCCGGGCTCTTCATGTGGAGCATCCAATGATAGTACACCATATGTATCTCGATGCCTCTTGAGTTGGATATGAGTAAGACAGGCAATAGCCCTGCAGCTGAGATGTCTTGAATCCTTCAATCTGACACGTATATACACATGAGTAACTAGTTAGCAGAAGCTGCATAGCTCTGTTGACATGACAACACAACCTGTGAATTTATGATCTAATTGAGCCAAAAGGAAGGCCAGGGTTATCCCAGAGCTACAGGAGCAAACATGGGTTCTTTGGGGCAGAATATGTATTAAAGCTACAACCCAACTGACAATAAGCGTGTCAATCCATAGTCGCTTGACCTGGAACGCTGTCGAAGGTGAAATCAATAGCATCGTATCAGATCGACTCACTCTGAGCTCATTTGAGCATGAATCAGTCTACCTTAATTCTTTGTTTGTTTACAGAGTAATGTAAATATATAAGAAGCCACAAACGAAGCCCAATTGAAAGACAAAAGACAACTCGACTTGTTCTTAGTTTGATTTCATCACAGTATCCTCTTCGCTCCTGAAGATAACCATACATTGCATTATGATTCCTTGTAGCGCATAAATCTTGTCCACACCAGAGACCAAAGTGCCATTAGTTGATACTGGACGAGGTGGTATCGAAGCCACTCATGCCTTGAGTTCTATGAACTCTTGGTAAGGGTCGTTAATAGAGACTGGTGTCTAAGCACCTCGGACTTATTTGTTCGGCAATCAGATATCTTGGGTATATGTCAAGTAATAAGGAGTCCAACACACGCTTTTCAATGCTAAGCATACCGGCACTTCATAAATATCTTTATCAATTTCTGCTAAATTCACATGTACATAATAGTGAAGACACCTTTGGCGACGTACGCACGTGACAAACCCTATGTTCACCGCCTTCCCGATCATCCGCGAAATTTTATTGTAGCTTCCCATAACTTCCCTGCATCTTGCTGTCGACTACTCTTTGCGTTCATTCCTACGACTTTCTTTTTATACGTCAAGAACTGTAGCCCCGCGCTATGATGCCGCCTGCATTTGAATTTCAGGGCAATCGCGGTGGCGACCGACGCCACAATCCCAGACACAATTTCACGTTTCGTTATGCGCGTCCTCACATCTCCGAACGGCCGCTTCTCAGATCGACACGGGAAACCACCCCAGAACCCCTTGTGTCCGCTGGCCAAACAGGGGAGCAGAAATCGGCTATGAAGTTCGCACCATTAGCCGACCTCAGCGACAGCGAAGAGGAAGACATGGATGTCTCCGATGACGACGCATCGCATCCTCGCAAGAAACGCGCACTTGAGAACGGCGACACGGCTCCTGCTCCGGCTCCGGCCCCGCCTGCTCCAAAGTGGTCTAACCCGGATCCATATACAGCCTTGCCCCCGCCCGATGAGAGCCAAACGAAGAAGGTCGACGTGGTAAAGTTGATTCGGAAATCTCGCGCGGCGGCGAGCGCGGCGGATTCGCAAGCGACCCAAGCGGACACGGCGGTAACGACTAATGAAGATTTTATCTCGTTAGGTGATTTGCCTGGTGGCAATGACGATGAAGAGGATGAAGAAGATGAAGTTGGGAATCCCAACGCTCCAGATAATGCACCCAGGGGACCTAGGGCAGGTGACTCTGCATTTGGTCGGAAGAGAACCTATGACGACGAGTTAAAAGGGCATTCTAAAAAGACAGGAAAGCCAATCAGCCGGTATTACCCCGACGCCTCTGTCCTCGATGAATGGAGGGTTCGTCAATCGCAGTCAGGGACTCCTTGGCTTACTCTCATGCCGCCCACATTACACCCTGGCACAAGACTGCACAATGAAATTGTGAGCTTCTTCCATTGGGTCAAACCTAATTCCTTTGAACAAATCGTCCGGGAAGATCTAGTACTGAGGCTGCAATCCGCGTTCTCGCGGCGATACTATGGTGTCCAAATCCGTGCCTTTGGCTCCTTTGCTTCTGGAATGTATCTTCCTACTGCAGATATCGATTTGGTCTTATTATCAAGTAACTTCATCCGCACAGGCGTCAAGACCTTCGGAGAGCGGAAAGGCCAGATCTATGCATACTCTGCATTTCTCCGCTCTACAGAAATCGCTGTCCCCGGCTCGATTGAGACTATTGCTCATGCGCGAGTCCCAATTCTGAAGTTCGTGGACAAGTTGACTGGTCTCAGAGTTGATTTGTCATTTGACAACGACAGTGGCCTAATTGCCAACCGCACATTTCAACAATGGAGATCTGAGTATCCTGCTATGCTGCCTATCGTCTCCATTATCAAGCAGTTTTTGCTCCTGCGCGGTCTCAATGAAGTCGCGACTGGCGGATTGGGTGGATTATCCATTACTTGTCTTGTCACTAGTCTTCTCCAACACCTGCCGCACGGCCATCTTGAGCCGAACCTAGGCAGTGTTCTTATGGATTTTTTCGACTTCTACGGTAATAATCTGGATTATGAGAAAGTTGGGATACGACTCAATCCGCCGGGCTATTTCAACAAGGTAGGCTTCGATCCAAGGAATGAGGTATAGGACTGAATTAACGAAAGCAGAGAGTCTACAATGACAATCGCCGCCTTACAATTGAAGACCCCAACAATGCTAGCAACGACGTCTCAGGTGGTACTAGGGAAATCGCGTTGATCTTCCAATCCTTCTCTGATGCATACCGGAAGCTCAAAGAACGGATGATTTCAGCCTCGATGGGACAGTTTACCCATACCAGCATTTTGGACACTATCATTGCCGCAGACTACGACGAGTATACGGAGCAAAGATGGCAGTTGCGTCAAGTTTTTGATAATGACCCTCGGTTCGAGCGTTTTCAGTCACTTACGCCTCCGCCACCACCCCCGGGTCCTCCACCAGCTGACCCTGCTTCTCCGCCGCCGCCGCCGCCTTCCCGTCCATCAGCCAACTTAAGATCATCACAGCCTCCTTCACCTCCTCCTCCATCGGAAAAGCTGACTAAAGCACAACGGAGGCATAATGCAGGCAAAGATCGCGCTACTCGGTTAAGACGACTACGTCCGGATTTACATTCTATTCCAGATTCTATTAGCAACGACCAAGCGATGAAACTCGGCAGTTACAAGTCACAGAGTGGCATGGATAGAGACTTGATGATCCGAGAGAAGGCTTTAAACCTGAGAGGGTCATGAATAGTCTTCTGGAAAGAAAGGCTGGATAGCCTTTCCTTATTTTCTTGCCGTTGATATGCTAGTGCATGATCGATGATTGTACCATCGTGCGGTCTCATTTATCTCCTTACTATCCCCTATTCTGTCTTGATATGCGATACCCATTCACATGTATTATGTGGTTTGCCGTTTTTGTATTCTTCAAAATTTATAGAGGCGGAGTGGTATTCCTTTTTCTTTTTCTTTTTTTTTTTTT